TCTCAACAGTCTATTAACTAGACACAGAGCCAGTATAAAACCATGGAGATCAACAGTTAAGCAAGATTCAACGCGTCATAATCACCGTGGCATGCTAGTTGAAGGTGAGCAACACACTTCAACTAATATGCCGCAGAAAGAATGGAACATTTCGATAAAAATAGAACAAAACATTTTTAGTTGGTTTTTCACACGCCGCTTTTGTTCTTTTTTTGTCATTTTTATGTTTGTAGTATTAATCATGTGAATCAACACAATACGGTACACAAGTCTTCCATTGATTCCGGTTGCGGGCCATTGGCACTCCTCATCTTTGGGTTCCCATCCTGGAAGACGTACGGATCCAACAGTGGCTAGACACGACGTCAGCGATTTCATGTGCTGTCGCCAAAGGGAAGGCTGACCACCACGCGATCGCCTCCAGCCAGGTCCTTGACGAGCGAATAGAGCGCAACGCGGTAGACGCTCAGGTGCCACGCGAAGGACGTGACCGAGCCATCTCAACTGGCGCAACAAAACCAGTTTGTTGAAGGGAGTACTCGCGTTCCCCAAGATGCGACGTCGAACGTCATTACTATTTACTCGATATTGCCACCAAACACAGGCGATCCTTCTTAAGCAACCGTTATCGAACGCAGAAAGACGACGCATGTCTTCCACGCGAATCGGCCAGGACTCGCACCCATACAACAATATTGAGCGAACAGATGCGCTGTAAACATGTCCCTTTAGTGAGAATGAGACGTCGCGACGACGCCACAAGTGCTTCAAATTGACAAATGCTGATCGAGCTTTAGCGATACGAAGCGAAACTTCTTTATTGATAGTGCCGTCAGCAGAAACACAGCTCCCAAGGTAGACGAAACTATCTACCTGTTCAAGTTGCGCACCATCGAGAGTGCGTACGGGGGCAGGTGAAAGCCAATCCTTGAGCAGTATTTTACACTTCGATGGGGCGAAGCTCATGCCCTACTTAGATGCTTCAACCGCCAAACGATCCAGAATGAGTTGCATATCCTGAGGATCGTCACCAAGTAAGACGATATCATCAGCATAATCTAAGTCGGTCGCGCGCTCACCCGGTAGAAGCTCTAAGCCAAAATGTTGGAAACCTTCTAGAGCATTCGACAGAACTTCTTCGATTGCGAAGTTGAAGAGGAATGGGGACATAGGGCAGCCCTGTCGCACACCGCTACTGACAGTGAATTGCGAGGAAAGCTTGCCATAGACCCTCACTCTGCCGGATGTATGAAGGTAAAGTGCTTGTAAGATGGCGGTCTATTTCTCTGGCACTCCCTTCTTTATTAAGCAACGCCATAAAGCAGGTCGATCAACGGAGTCAAATGCGGCACGTATGTCTAGAAATGCAATAATAGTGGGCCTGTGATAAATATGGCGATGTTCGAGGAGCTGGCGGAGCGTGAAGATTTGATCCACGCATCCGCGGCCAGGACGGAAACCAGCTTTTTCTTCGCGGTAGTATGATTCACGTACTGGGGATAGTCTGCGAAGCAGAATGGATGCCAATAGCTTGGAGGCAACCGAAATAAGACTAATCCCGCGATGATTTTCACATGAAGTGCGAGCGCCTTTCTTGAAAATCGGGACAATAACTGATTCACCCCAAGAGGAAGGCACTTTCTATTCATGCCAAATTTTTGCGAACAGCGCGGTCAGCTGGTTAATGATCGCCACACCGCCGTACTTGAATAGTTCCGGAGGTAGTCCGTCTAAGCCGGCAGTCTTACAGCGCTTCAAGCGTCGAATCACGAAGCAAACTTCCGCTTCGCTGGGTTGATTCAGAGGAACGAGCCAGGGTGGACAACAACGTGTGCTGCATGTACTGATGGATGGTGGAGGCCAGTTGAACTGTGAGTGAAAGTGCTCGGCCCAACGGTCCATACGCCTCTGTTGGTTGGTCGGAGACTCATCCACCTCACAAATGACCTCACTGACACCAGGTTTCCTCAGGCCAGTGAACCGAATGAGTTGGAAAAGCCTGCGATTGTTGCCAGAGAGGGCAGCGGTCTCCATCTCTAAAGCACGTTCAGACCAAGTGGCATTTGGTGTACTCGCTGTGTGGTTGGATTGCGACTCGCAATCTCTTATTAGACCTCGGTCCTAAGTGGACCTCGGTCATTACGATCACAAGGACCGTAACCGAATTGGTGGTTCGGTGTTGCTCCTCCCAACCCTGAGACCCCATGACCGGTTTCGTCCTCCTTTGGACTCATCAGATGGAGATACCGCTGTGCCAAACGTTGCTCGCGGACCTAGGAGCCATAGTGGTCAGGTCGTCAACCTTTGAACACTATACCTCGAGGTCCACCCCAGCTCAGGGTATCTCCATCTGATGAGTCCAAAGGAGGACGAAACCGGTCATGGGGTCTCAGGGTTGGGAGGAGCAACACCGAACCACCAATTCGGTTACGGTCCTTGTGATCGTAATGACCGAGGTCCACTTAGGACCGAGGTCTAATAAGAGATTGCGAGTCGCAATCCAACCACACAGCGAGTACACCAAATGCCACTTGGAACACATTACCGCTGTGCCAAACGTTGCTCGCGGACCTAGGAGCCATAGTGGTCAGGTGGTCAAACTTTGAACACTATACCTCGAGGTCCACCCCAGCTCAGGGTATCTCCATCTGATGAGTCCAAAGGAGGACGAAACCGGTCATGGGGTCTCAGGGTTGGGAGGAGCAACACCGAACCACCACGTTCAGACCACCATGTTTCGCGCTCCTTGCTAGGCTTTGCTTGAGCAGCCGGTTGGCAGAACGGCGCCGCTCGTTGCAATCTGATTCCTCTGGGATATCTTTGCGGCGTTCGAACAGCTCCAGAGAATGAGCAGAGATCCAAGGCTTCAAGGGGCGTCGAGTTAGGCCGCAGCATGACTGTCCGGAAATGGTCATTGCCTTCCGTATACAAGTCCAGTGTTGTTCCACTTCTTGCGGTGGATTGCAACTGAGTGCATATGCCAATGAAGACTGATAGCTCTCCTGGACAGAGGTATCAGTTAATCTGTTTACATCAATCTTGCGGTGCTTCGTGTTTCGGGATCCTCAAAAACACATACAGATTTTCGCGCAGACCAGAGCATGATCTGACTCAACGAAGGTGGACCAAAAGGACGTGCAGTCCAGTACGCTGCCGCGCCATCTGAAGCTAATTGCAATGTGGTCAATTTGAGACCACAGTTGTGTTGAAGAAGGGGGACGCCACGTTGCGGAACGCTTCTTCGTACGCCTGAAGTTAGTGCTCGAAAGAAACAAACGGTTGTCTTCGCACAATGTGAGAAGTCTCTCTCCGTTATCAGAGCGGTTTTCATCGAGCGCGTGATGACCACCAAGGTGGCGTTCGTATGGTAACAGGCGGCCAACCCGTGCATTAAAATCCCCAGCAAGGATAACGACATCCGACTTTTTAGCATTAGTCAAGAGCTGTTGTAGATCCCGGTAGAATTCGTCCTTGACCGAGTCGCCACTGCAGTCAGTTGGAGCGTACACGGAGATCACAAACAAGTTGTGTCTCTCTTCGCGGTGCCTGTTGATTCTACATGAACCCCGAAGCCGAACTGCACATAGTCGGCTGTTAATAGGGAACCAGTCCAGTAGTGCCGCCTCTGCCTTGTCACTTAGTGCTATACCTACACCAGCCAGACCCGCTGAGGCTGTTTCTGGATCTCCAGAAAGACGCAGGTGATATATGGCTTCGTGGTCAGTGGGGGATGTCAGTGTAAGCACAGTGCTGGGATCTTGCAATCGGGTTTCTGAAAGGCAGCAGACATCAATGTCTAGGGAATCTAGAGTGCGCGCTAGACCGGCTTGCTGTCCAATCTGCATAAGTGTCCGAACGTTGAAGCACGCCAGACAGAACGAGGATCGGGGACGAAGGAGAGCCATAGGTTGAACCTCTTGGTCTGCGGCGCAACCGGAATCGCAGCCAGATTGTTGAGCACATGAATCGGGTAACGGAAAGTGAGGATTGTTAACAAACAAACAATTGGCGTGTGATGAAGTCGCGTGAAAGTGAGTAGCAGAAACAGCAGCTGATGAGCAAGTTGTAATACAGTCCATGGTTTTGCGAGAGGGCGTGATACTACCCGGTTGCCTAAGCCGAAGTAGGGAGTTGACTTAGGGGACTCCACCCCGAGCCTTTGGTTAAATAACCTACCATCAAGGCAGCGGGGCGAATTTAGGGAATCATGCCCATTGGGAGACGTTGACTGAAGGTTCAGTTCATGCGTCTTTGTTTGGTAGATTACCAAACAGGGGCCCAATACTCCCCATGAAGTCAGCCCACCTGCTGGAATACAATGTCCTACGGAGGTGGAACATTGTTGCCGAACACTTTGCTGGAACGGGGTACACCCGAACCACCCAGCTGGCATCGCGAGGAGGTAGTTCGGCAAGCCAGCCCGAAACAAGCATACCCATGAAGTTCGAACCAATGATCCCATGTCTAGCTTTGCATCGCCATGGACTTATAAGATCAGTTAATATGAAAGTTTTGCCCATTCAGTGTACCGTGTCCAACAGATTTCACACTTAAATCCGACCGATCTGTCCTTCCATTTGTCGAATACTTTTTCGGTGATTTTTGATCACATCCATCACTCGACTCCTCCATCAACGATATTTCAACATGTTATTCTCTTTTCAGTCTTCATCCGGCCTTCATCCTACATCAGCTATCTTGCTCCGATAATCTAGCAACCCGGACTCTTCATAAACTTTTTCTTTTCCTTTGAACTCGCTGTGTGAGACGGATCGTACTCACTCTAAATCGCTGTAGCTAGACGTTGCGTTTTTGTTGATGAGTTACATCTTGTCATTACCCCGTTTTCCTTCGCTACACACCTGCACCTTGTGCTTCGTCTTTGTGCAGATCGCTGAACTATTTTCCATCATCATCCCCTTTTCCATCATTCTTGATTTTCGCAGTTATTATACTCGGATCGTGTTTGGCAATTTGCAGCTGTCCTCCGTGTCTGTTTTATGTTATTCGAGTCTATGCGCAAACATCTGAAACTTCAAATGGAGGTAAGTTTTTTCGTTAGTTTACGCTTTGCAAGTTGATTTGGTCCTTTCCTTCTATACTAAACATCGATAGCAATCCACATGACGCCTCCATTTGGTTAACCCTATAATGCCGACTTAGTGCTCAAGTCTCTCTAGTTTGTGTAATGAAAATACCATGGTGCATATATGTGATGCATTCGGCTTACTGGCTGGACCCCATCATTTAAATTCGCCTGCATAGCTTATCCACCTTTTTGCCCTTTCTGGATTTCTCTTTAAACACTAGGAATGTCTGTGACTTGACGGGTCATTTACAGCTATCCCGTCTTTCTTTGCGCATCGGCGTTCTTTACACGTTATGTCTGCTCGCTCGCGCATAATTTGTTACAGCTGCATCAGGCAGTACTTCTCATCATGCTCATTTGTTCCTTTCCTAGGAGTTTGTTTGAATGTTTACGCAGAAGTACGGAAAATTAGCGTTGCCCGTTTTCTCCCTTACCATATCGATCACCACTAACAACCCACACCTACCTAAGCACCGTAGACTGTTAGCATTTTCACCACGTGCCTTTCTAGTTACGCTCCATATGCGGTGCATACCAGATGGAATAAAATCGGAAGCTACCTACATGGAAGTCGTAATTACTTCTGACTTTCCCTATTTCGTCATCAAGCATATCACTCATAAGTATAGATGAATCCCAACTTCATCTCTGAGTTCAGACAAGGATGAAACCTTTCGTATAGCACACTGCTGGTGGAGGGGCTGAGCAGCACCGAAAGCTCTCCATTTCCAATGCGGTCCGAGCGACCAGAATTACTGAGGTGTGTTTCGGAGCAACACGTGGTCCCAACATTGGAACTGCGCGCCGTACTGTAGGTTACCCAAAATCCAACATCGCAACCTGCGAACGAACGTGAAAAGTGCGATGGATGCACCAGAACTCCTGTTTGCAGTTAACGCTGACACGATGATTGCACTCGTTTCCCTCGCAATGACTGGCGATCTCCTTGTGCCAACAATCGAGCTGGTGTCATCGGACAAATATACCTCTTCTCGGCACTTGCTTCGTGCGCATCCGCACCCAGTGTATTATTACTTCGAAACAGTAGTCAATAATGTACCAGCACGCAACCCCTCAGGTGTGGTCCAATTACAGCCACGAAGTGCGACATGTGGCACGTCATCCAATGGGCTGAGGATAGTTGCATCGATGCATCCTTGCATCTTCAGTGGTCACGCGATAATTTGACTTTAGTTCTGGTAACGGTGCCAACTTCGAACCTTGCCGCTTGCGTATTGAGTGACTCCGATTGATGGGAATGAATTATGCATACGCTCTTCTGAGCGGTCTATTTGTGTCATCTTTTGACAGCGTAAATATAATGAATGAGTCTGTTGGACATGTTGGCAGCAAATATCTACGATGCAGTTGAAGACATGCTAGTGGGCTACTCAATATCCGAAAGATAACCGTGCACAGCAAGTCATGCACTTTCCGCCCCACTGGTCACCGATGAACGGTGCTTGCTTTTGTTTAGTTCTCCAGAGACTAAGTGCTGGACTTCGCTCAAAATACAGTAACTGCAAAAAGACATGTTATTTATCATGTTTCTTTGTTAACGCGGTTCTCTCGATACTTTTCTTGCAAGCCAGCTTCAGTGGCCGGAGGCCGCTCAGCCCTTGTTTTCTTGTCTAAAATGACATTCCCACATGACATGTTGCCCACAGCATTTTCCCATTACTTGTAGTTAGTCTGGGGATATTTTTTCAATTTCATTTTGCTTAGAACTCACCGTTCTTTTGTGTTCCCTCAACGAATTCTTCACTATAGGTCTACCTGCAGCGTCTTGCGGCAATCTGTTCACCCGACAACGATGCCACAAGCTACGAGCGGCGAGAGGTTGCCCTGGATTCCGTTGTTCGTCTCTTTCTTGTACCCGGTTTGGCCACCGAGCTTTATGTGAACTACGACTGCGATCCGTACTGCTCCAACCTTTTCGAAGAGATCACCAAAATGTTGGCCAAAAATGCGTATCCTGTGGACAGGTTGATGGGCACCCACCTACTGTCTTTGGATGCCCTGCTCGCTGTGTTGAACACCATCGGGGTCCAGAGTTCTTCACGACCCGGAAGCACTAATCCGGATGATCATTCTACCCTCCCTCAAGTTTCCGTAAGCACTTCGCTTTCATATCTCATGGCAGAAATCAGACAACTGTTCGCCTCTAGATTAGTGTTTGCTCTAAGTTGCAGTATAAATGAACAAATGTCCTATTCTCGACAATGGGAGTTTCCTCTGCTCGCTCTCTCTCGCTATATATATATATATATATATATATATATATATATATATATATATATATATATATATATAAATCCTTTATCACACAGAAAACCCAGCATCAAACGCACTTTAAACAGGGTGTCCGACTAGGAAACGACAGCAGACTGCGAACCATGTCCTGTAACGTTTTGGGCCATGCACAAGGCGGGTCACATGGACTCCAGCCTGAAGGGGAAGACGGACCGACGGCACCGAGTTTGATCGTCAATGACTTCATTTCCCGCTGCCAATTCAACATGTGTCCACCTCGAACTTTGCGCCACCCTACCTCTGGCAAACAAAACAAAGCGCTCCTCACTAATCGGTGACCGGGCATACGTAGTACATGCGTAAGCGTACGCAACTTATTCAGCATTGTCTGTTGTCCCAAAGAACTAGCCTGATTATCACTGCCTGTCACTTGGCTACGTACGTCATCGTTGCGGACACGCTAGTGGCATCTGACGCCAGAAATGCTCCACATGCAGCATTAATTAATGACTTAGAGGCTCTCTAGAATGAAGCAGCTAGTTATCACTCCTATAGAGTCGGATGTCCCTCACTGTAGTCTTGTAAATACGGTCTTTTAGATCGGTGGAAACCCATTCTGATGCCACAGATTTTGCAGATTAAAGCAGGCAATTCTAGCTTTTACAATTTGTGAACTCACTTCAGTTGGTAATGCAGCTGCCAAGGTAAGTAAATTGATCAATTACCACGAGTTCGCTATCAAGGGTCAAAGGGATCATCAACTTGCCCGTGATCCTGTAACAAAATTACACTTTGAAGGTTCGAAACGTATGTCAGATGGTGGGACCACTCTAGAGTGTTTACTCAGGGTTGACTTGGCCACCCCAACATCGTTAATAGCAAAACAATACGTCGGCATACTTGAGCTCAGCCAGCTTTCCCCCAGGCAGCATCGCAACACCTGCATTTTGTGATTTCATTATGGATTTCGCGACAAGTCTGTACGAAAATGGGGAAATTAGGCAACCCTGATGACCGCTACTTGTTGTGGGAAAGACATCCGACATGTAACCGTGGACGTGATGCGGTTTGTGGTGTTCGAGTATAGGGCACGTACTTGTTCACCTATTTCCTGAGAACACCTTTCCGCACAATTATCGTGAACAGAATGCATAGGTCGACTGAGTCAAGGAACACAGCCATTTTCGGTCGGCAGTAAGTGTGACGCTTTCCTAACTGTCAACGCAAAGTGGTCTATATAGACCATACGTAAATGAAAATCTTGCTCTTCCCTAATCCGGGACTCTCGTTCCGCATTGAGTTGACGAACGAAAGGATGACGATATACGGTTTATGAAACATGTGATACAACTCATGTTAGCGGGACGCTAGCTAAATGCGAGAAACCGAGTACTATCATGCCATTTGCTACGCTACATACTTCCATTGAATGCAATAACTAGTCCCTGATATAGCCATGAACGTGATGAGTACCGGTATAACATAGCCTCGTTCACTTATTCCATTCTTCTTATTGCTAGCAAACGTGCGATTTAATACAACGCTTCATCATTAGCATGTCTTAAAAGTTATCAGTAACTATTTGAAGGTCACGCAGGTGGCACATACAATCCGTTTGCTTGTTCAGTCATTTTTCCAGTGTTTCTATAAAATCTGTTACTAAATAAATAATCTTTCAGAAAACACACTGGGATTTTCCTGCGCTTATTTAAGGCCCCATGTAATAGTCTTCTGCTGGCGGGGCTGTTGGAGACGTGATTTCGATGCGCATCTCGAAAGCACGCCTCGCTTTTTCTAGGCTGAGGCATTTGTGGCGTCGCCACGACATTCGTCTCTCCATCAAAGGGCGGGTCTATTGTGCAACTGTTCGTGCTGTACTGTTGTACGGATGCGAGACCTGGCCCATTCGTAAAGATGACTTGCGCAGGCTATCCGTCTTTGAGCACCGCTGTCTGCGGTCCATTGCCCGTGTGTGGTGGCAGCACCACGTAAGCAATGTGGAAGTTAGACAGCGTGTCTTGGGACGTGGAAGCCACTCGCTTGAGGAGCTCATCTCACTGCATCAACTGCGGTGGTTGGGACACGTATTGCGCATGCCTGTCCAGCGTTACCCCCGTCGTGCGTTGTTTGCACTTGCTGGACAGGGCTGGAAGAGACGGTCTGGTGGACAGCCTACAACATGGAGAAGCCGCATGAAAAAGTTGACGAAACAATTGGCCTCGGCCGGTTGTTGTCGACTACCTGGTTGGGGTCCGAGAGACGAGGATACTTGCTGGTTGAAAACCTTGGAAGTTATGGCTCAAGATCGATGTCAATGGCGGACGTGTGCATCAGTGTGTTGCGGTGTCCCTTCCTCCTCCCCCTAAAAAAGAACAAACTGAAAAAATTTCAAAAACTGTGAGTGGTAAACTTGACAAAAAAAGCATTTCTTGTTGCTCTTTTCTTATTATTCATATTGTTTTCCTATTCAGCCATGATTCCGATGGCACAATATCTGTACCACAGATTGTGTATAATATATATATACATATACTTCTGACCTCTCTGGACACCCAACTACTCTGTGTTGCGCAACGACTTAGTTTACTACTGTTACCATTGTAGGAGTTTCTAGCTCTTTGTGGCCATCGCAGCTCTGGCAGTGGTACATTTCACGTCCAGCGCTTTGAACCCGGACTCTTTGTAATAAACCTTTCCACAGATTTGTTGTCGAACTTCCGTAAAAATCTGAATTACTTTCACTTGAATTCACAATTAAATATGTTGAAACGCCGTCCTTCGTGCTCCGGTTAAGTGCCCCTCCGAACCCAGCCTCGAAGCCTGCTTCCACCTATCGGTAACTTCTCTATTCCGCTGGTAATGATGAGCGCCAAAGCACTTCCATCTGTATTCTTATAACTAGACTCCCCTGAAATGATGTTCAACGTCGCAGCTGTTTAACAACACATTGTTCAGGGCCCATAATTTACCACAACGTGTTTTTCACTGTTATTTATTCCACCCTCACATTTTGTGACATCCAGAAGGATTTTGTCTATCGTGTAATTGATTCATCAATCAACCCTTTTCCCCCTACATCAACGGGATACTCGTTTCACTATGGGTTTGCCAATTGCACAAACAGTGCAGTTTTGGTCTTCATTAGAACGCCGAACTCGGAGCTTTGCGTGTGTGTGTGTGTGTGTGTGTGTGTGTTTATTTACACACTACAATTTGCCTTTGCGGTCGACTTGATCTGTAGTTCGATCTCAAAAGATACAGCTGGAGCTGCTTCCCATGTAGATCTGAGTGGTGGGACATTGAAGTGTATGTAGATCAACTCTATCCGCCGTCCGTTCTGCTTCGTCATCCTGCTTCGACACGAAACGGTTTGTCGCTAGGTTTGGCGTAATGTAAGCCACTCCTGAGGTAGAAGTGTTTCGGCACCATGTAGCTTTCCATACCTAATGACATTGATCCCGTCTCTCCTCATGAACACGATGTGGATATAAAAAACACCCGGTCATTTTCGAGTATTTATGCTGCAATCATACCTGCGATCCTCGGATCTGTCATTTGATTTCGGCTGCAAATCTCCTTTCTACATGTTTTTCTCTCTATTTCCATCTTATGCTTTGGATCGATTTCTTGTTGAAAACAGTCCTTGTAAACTGGAGTATTACAACTTTCTCATGTTTAATTTCTTGCAGTTTAGCTGATCGCATACATATGTGCCTTTTACTTCTACCTGGTCATGACTGAAGCGATCCTAAACACAAGCAGAATCGTGTTGCTGCTCTCATATTTGATACCATTACTGTGAGCCCAATGCTTATACTCGAAACTAATCAATTCCAGTAGAACTTCATCATCGCGTGCTTCAATGTGAATTTAAAGCAGTTAGCTTTTCCGACAAACCGCCGTCGCCCTTCGTACTTTTCCTTCTGATACGTGAAACGGGCATAAGGGAGACCGTACTCGACTTGAGGCGACATCTGATACACATATTGTGAACACGCTTGGAGTGTTGAACCGAACACTGTGAGAAGCAGTTTAATCAACCGAAGTCGCCGTCTTCCTTGACGGCCATTGACCACCATTCTCTCTGAATCGTCCCCTTGGGTCTGCCCTTAAGCGCATGAGTCGAACCGTAGAAATCGAATAAGGCTGCATGAGCAGATAGACTTCCTCCTTCAAATTCGGAGGCTAATCTCTTTCGTACGGTTTCCACTACTTATTAATGAATGTGTGTGCGAGTAAGACATTCTCCCAATGGACAGTTCTCAGCGCACTCATTTTAAGAATGCAGCAATCATAGAGGTATCAGTCTGATCCCCTCCGCCTTTAGGTTACTATCCTCCGTCGTTCTGCATAGACTGACTGGTATTAGTGTAAGTTAGATGCGCGAAGAGCAAGGCGGCTTTCATTGAACTCGAGGGTGTATTAACCACATCGATTGTTGGAACACTGCTATATTTATTGGCGACTCACCGTAGTCGTGTTCCTCAACATCGATTCCGTGAATCGATGTTGCCGTTGAGACGGTCTGCTCAGAATAGATGTACACGATAAATATGTGAACACTTTCTGGTCGCTGTGCGCGCATAGTTCGGGCAGAGTGAGGACTTGTGGCAAACTGTCGCTGCCCTTCAATATCTTCAGCACTTGACCGCTGTCATCCTTCCATTTTAACTTCGCCATTGATGAAGTCATGGGAAATGCGTTCACTGGGCACGGCTTGGGAGGTGTGCAGTTGCTCCCAGGTGATTGACATCTTGACTTGAAGTATACGGGCGACAGATCCCAAACATGTCAAGCAGCACTGGATAAATTAACTCTGGCTGTTTCGGGCTATGCTTTGCGCTCTTGAAGTGCATTGTCCTTCTCCACGATTGGCATTGATCCACTGATTGGTGTCAGCTAGAAGACGTTCAGAAATGCAAGTATCTAGTCAACTAGGTTAGCGCCCGTGGGATCGAATATGAGTTCAAGGATCGTATAGCAATAGCTGGGGGCGCTTCTGTCAATCTGCGTCACCTGTGGCACTGACTTGACATCACTCTTGCTCAGAAGGGCAGTGTTTACGGTGCAGTCGTGCGTTCAACCCTGCTGTACGGTTTCGAAACCTGGCCTACCAGTTCGGCGAACATAAAGATACTGGTTAGGTTCGATCATCGCTGCCTTCGCAGTTCAGCTCATGTCTGATGGGAGCACCGTTCGACGTTGTGTATTTAGCACAGGAAAAACGAGTGAATTGCTCATCATCGTTATATCACTCACCAGCATCCGATGGAGGGGCCACATGTTGCGTACGCTGGCACACTGACTTCTGCGATGTGCGTTGTTTGCGCTCCGGCGATGTGGATGTAAGAAGGGAAGAGGATGCCAGGCGATGAATTGGTCAAGAGGTATGATGACTTACTCCGGTTGGTGTCTCCCGACTACCGGGATGGGGCCGAAGGATGTTGAACATGTTTGGTTCGATACATTTGTTGACGTGTTGGAGATCCGGGCCCAGTTGTGTTTGTGTTGTAAGTCTCTTTACTCATCTCCCTCCCGTTTATCTTCCCCCTCCAACCACGTTCTTACCCGCGATGCATAATATGGTACTAAGCATCATATTAGTTTTTTGTTTTCACATTGTATTCTGTATTGTTTTCTGTCTCGCTTTTTCATATATCTTGTATTGCTGCGCATTAGCTGAAGTGTGTTTCTCTTCTGCTGTGACGTGTAATTATCTTGATTCTGATGATGACTTTTCAAGCGTCGTTCGTGAGGCTTGGCTTTCGTATCACGATCACAATACTCAGAAGCATGGCGCGCCGCGACAGAAGTTTTACAAGCATGTAACACCGTTCTGTTTGTCTCCTCTGGGCTGCCATGCGCCAGGAAGTCGTGGCGTTGTGCGCTCACGGTAAACTTCTTTTACAAACCACCTTTTTCGTATGTGTCTTGCAGCAATATCGGAAACATGGAGCTATCTCCAATTCCAACCATAAATGGTGACAACGCTACGGAAAATCGGCCTTCGAGTACAATATACCCTTTTGTTAAGTCTTCCGCCCTTCGTTTTCCCAGTTCTGTTAACTGCGATGCACATGGAGTAATATACCATCACTGCTCCTCCATTTGCTTATACCTGTAGTCACATGCTTTTTCGCAATTAATTCTCATTTTGCCACTTCTATTCATCGTCTGATTATGCGTTCCTGTCTTCTATTTTCTCGTCAGTCCAGCTGTGGCCTCTCTTCCAAACTCCGTCCCCCTGTACCTGCGATTGGAACGGATCCAATCGTTATGCGCAGGGCACGCCTCAATCGCCATCCGGTTGATCCAGTTCAACTCCCCTCTCGTGAGGATTTGAACTCTTCAAGGACCATGAAGAAAGTGGGTTGATTGACCTCTTTTTCAGTTTTGTTTCGTCTAGTTTCTGGTCATCTGCTCAGCTGTCGGCCGGTGGCCGAAAGGTTCACTAGTCGCCTACGTTGTAATCCGGCGAAGGCCATCGGTCGTAATCCGTGAAGTCTGCACTGTTCAGTAGTGGTCTTATTCGTCGTCCATTCAGCAGGGGGATTCACGGGACTGAAGTCTATCCGAATTCCGTTTAGCTTCTCTGTAGGAAAACAATCTCGAAGCGATCGTTCGATTGTTTCGAATGGGAGCGATGTGTCGTCTCTTCACCAACAACTCTGCCACACGTTATTCTCCTTGTATAATTGAACTGTTGCGTCAAGTAAAACTACTATGTACCTCTCTTCTTTCGATTTACGCGTGTTTTTTTCGCTTACTCTTGTACCGCTTTTCTAGTTGGTCCACGATGAACCATGGTCCCCTACCTTGCGTCAATGAAGACCTTGTACCAGCAACTCTCATTTATGTGTTACCTTGATGCAGAAGCTTTCCTGGATTAACTAGCTCAAGCACTCTTTACAGGCCAGACTCCCGTCCGCCTTGGACTGGGTTGCAAACATCTGGCTACGTTCCCGTTGCTTGCGCGATGCGCTTTGTTTGTCCATAAGGACCCCGAGGAAGTATCCGCCGACCACTCCAGGCCGTTGACTCGTTTGCTTCCCATGTCGAAGTACCTGTGTTCGATTCTCGTTACCACGCCAGCTCCGAGTCGCTGTCTGAATAACGTCAGACGTCCATTCCAGACGACTACATACATCCAACTAACTACGTCTCGGTCTAATCATGACATCTCATCGGCCACCCCTATGCTCCTTGTTCTGCATGACTAAATTTGCACTAATTTACCGTGTCCTTTAGTACCTGTCCTATTTGGACCACATGATTTGCTGAACAACCTCTTCGTGGTGCCAGCTGGGTGGTTCGGGATTATCCCGTTCCAGCGAATGGTTCGGCGGCAGGGTTCCAGGACGTAGTGGGTTTTCGCCTGGCCAACGTTCTCCCTATAAAAGCCACATATGTCCGTTTAACAACACTGTGACTTGGCGGATGTGACTCGCCACTAAATAAAGTCACTGCCCCTTGCCTCTCTCTGAGTGGCATTGTAATTCAAGGGTGTGTTGGGCCCTTGGTCTTATGCGGTCCTAAAGGTGTATGAACCACTCGTCTGGTCACCGGCTCCCAACTGGTTGCGATACCCTCATATCTCCCTGCTGCCTTGTAGGTTAGATCCTTGATCAAAGGCTCGGGGTGGGGCCCCCTAAGACAACCCTCTACTTCGGCCTGGGCAACCGGGTAGTATCTCGCCCACTGACGAACCATGGACTTACAGCCACAACCATCCACGCGCTCTCCTGCTGCTACCATGCTATTCACTCATGTCACTATGCCAACTGCACAAGCACGCGCCACCATTTACCTGCCCTTCCCTTGTACCATTCACACCCATTTTTACCTGATTCTTCTATGGCGATCAACCCCACCTACACTGATGAACCTGTTCCCGTGACATCTGCCAACTCAACCACGCAGTACTCAACAGAGAGCTGCCGGTCCCAAAGTTGCCCATCTTCGCTCCTGCAACCCGGAACGCAGTTCAAACTTGCAGCCTTCAACGTACGCACATTACTGCAGATCGGTCAGCAAGCTGGACTTGCACGCACGCTCATCATCCTCATCATCATCATACATGTCAGCTAGAGATGGTAAAACACCTCCGCTATTGTACCGCAATACATAAAGGAAATACATACATACATACAATACATAAAGGAAAAATAAATACGACAGTTGAATGCCAGCTGAGCTACCAGCAACGGATACGCATCGTTCCGGTAAGCTACTAGCCGGCTACTAGGCAAAACCAAAAATTTAATTACGTTTTACCCTACGAAATAAGATCGTAGATGGAGGGGGAGGCTAAAGGGATGGGGAGGGACAAAGAAACTCACAGCAGGAACGCCACTGAGGTCGGCTCCTTGCCATATCAGCAAGTGTATCCAGCCAAACGTGTTCACCGTCTTTTGGACCCCAACCAGGGAGCCGTGAAGCTCCAACTGAGGCCAGCTCCGAAGTGAGGGCCTTCATTCCTCTGGACCAAGTCATCGCTTGGCCACCTCTCCTCTTCTTCCACCCACATCCCCGGTGAGCAAACAACGCACGTCGAGGGAGTCGGTGGGCTGGCATGCGCAACACGTGGCCCAGCCATCGGAGCCTGGTGAGTGAAATGACGGTGCTGAGCGGTTCATTCCCTTTTCCTAGGCCGTAAACAAGGCGTCGAACACGCTCGTTACTCACGCGGTGTTCCCACCAGATGTGAGCCAAACTGCGAAGGCACCGATGGTCGAACGTAAGTAGCCTCTTCATGTCCGCCGATCTTAGGGGCCAGGTTTCGCAACCGTACAGTAAGGTCGAACGTACCGCTGCATTGTACACTCTACCCTTCAGGGCGAGAGTAATGTCGCGCCGTCGCCATAGGTGGCGAAGGTTAGCAAAAGCACTTCGAGCTTTCGCTATGCGGTTCGTGATCTCGTCTTCGATCCCAAGGGCGCTGATACAACTTCCCAGGTAATTGAATTTCTGAACGACTTCTAGCTGATCCCCACCAAGGGTCAGCACAGGGGGCGAACCCTGCCAATCCTGGAGGAACGCTTTGCACTTCGGTGGTGCAAAGCAAAGCCCGAAGCGACTGACAGCCAGTGCTAATCTGTCCAGCGCGGATTGACACGTCTGGGAGCTGTCACAGATGAGGGCAATGTCGTCTGCATACTCTAAGTCAAGAAGTCGTTCTCCTGGGAGTAGCTCCACACCTTCCAAGTCATGTCCTGTAAATGCAATCTCCATGACTTCGTCAATAGCGAAGTTGAATAGGAAAGGTGACAGCGGGCATCCTTGTCTCACACCGCTGGAGATATTGAAGGGTGGCGACAGCCTGCTGTAAGCCCTTACTCTGCCCATGCTACGCGCATATAATGCTTGGATAATATTTACATATTTCTCGGGCACACCTTTCCTGAGTAGACAATTCCAAAGGGCACATCGATCAACCGAATCGAAGGCACATTTGATGTCGAGGAACACGACTACGGTGGGCCGCCAATATGTGTGACGGTGCTCCAACAACTGACGCAAGGTGAAGATGTGGTCGATGCAGCCACGACCTCGACGAAACCCGGCTTGCTCCTCACGAATCTGGCTTTCACGAGCGCCAGTCAGTCTGTGGAGAATTATGGACGCGAGTAATTTGGAGGCGATGGAGATCAGACTGATTCCTCTATGGTTGCCGCATTCCGAGCGCGAGCCGCCTTTGAAGATGGGAACAATAACGGAGCGGCTCCAGTCGGTTGGGACAGTTTCCTGCTCCCACAGTTTCACTAGTAATTCATGCAAAGCATCAACAAGAGCAGAGCCTCCAAATTTGAAGAGGGCTGGAGGAAGATCATCTGGTCCCGCGGCTTTGTTCAACTTCAACAGTCCGATCTCACGTTCGACTTCTGAGCGAGAGGGTGGATCCAAAGGGACAGCCCACGGAGCGGGGCGATCAGTGACCGGCGAATCGAACAATTCTTGCCGATTAAATTGCTTTTCAAAATGCTCAGCCCAACGCTCCAGACGTTTTGACAAATTGTGGATAGGCTGTCCACTCTCGTCACGTATAGTTTCACTAACACCAGGTCTCCTGCTGCCCGTTTCCCGTATCAGACGGAATAACTTACGATGGTTGTCAAGGGCAGCGGCCACTTCCATCTCTGACGCACGATGAGACCACCAAGATTCGCGGTCTCTCTTCAGGCTAGCACGGAGTTTTGCCCGGAGCTCTTTGCGAGTTTCATTGTGCTCGCTTCCAGCCGGGATTTGCCGGCGAGCATCTATAAGTTCCAAAGACTGCGAAGAGACCCAATGTCCATGTTGTCTATTAGACATACCACATGAGGATTTGCCTGCTGCTAGTAAGGTCTGGCGAACATGTGACCAGTGACCATCAATTGTCTCCTGTGAGCGCTTGCTCAACTCGCATGTTAGCGTACTTCGATACGCATTCAGAACAGCTGGTTTTGTCAGTTGGCTGGTGTCAATACGCTCACAGCGTCGTCGTGGGCGTCCGCCAAAACGCATCCGCATGTCAGCACATACAAGTGCATGATCGGTGTCCACACATGTGCTCCAAATCGAGCGACAATTCTGGATGCAGCCTCTCCAGCGGTAACTTATCGCAATGTGATCGATCTGCGTGCAAGGCTGGTTCGAGGTTGGTGGGCGCCAAGTCGCCCTTCGGCGGGTGCTGTGTCGGAAATTAGTGCTCGCAAGAAATAAGCGAGCATCTTCACACAAATGAAGTAACCGCTCACCGTTATCATTACGGGAGCCTACACCGTGTTGACCGCCCAGATGCAGTTCATCAGTGGACAACTTTCCAACTTGTGCGTTCATATCCCCCGCCAGCACAACAGTGTCCGTGCTTCTTCTGTGGCGAAGGAGCTGGGTCAGTTGGCGGTAGAAGTCGTTCTTTACCGAATCATCGCTACAGTTTGTGGGCGCATAGGCAGCGATGATGAATAGACATCTATTAGTCCCGCGCGACTTCGAAGCTTTAAACGAGCCAGCCAATCGGACCGCACACATCCGGCTACTGATTGGAATCCAATCAACCAGAGCAGCTTCAGCCCGGGGACTCAGGGCAATACCAACACCGGCTTGGCCGGTGCTCGAAGCTGCATCGTCACCGGATAGGCGCAAGGAGAAAATACTGCTTGCGTCCCCTGAAGGGGATCGCAGAGTGAGCACAGTGCTCGAGTCTTGCAGGCGAGTCTCTGATAAGCAGCAGATATCGATCGAGAGGGTCTCCAATGTTCGGGCAAGTGCTGCCTGTTGACCGATTTGTAGCAGTGTGCGTACATTGAGGCATGCCAATCTGAAGGAGGATCGAGGGCTCCAAATGGAAGCCGATGAACTGGATTGGACCGCTTGGTTGGACATGGGCTTGTCGACAGGAGAGGAGTGACGCTCCGCGTTCACGTGTGAGTTGAAATTAGAAGGTAAATGCCTAGCAAAGCATGTTGGGGGAGGGCCAAGAATCGGGGGGTTGAAAACTGGGGGGATATAAGTGAAGTTGGAATGGGACGGTAAGAGTGAAAAAGCGTAAGAGGGGGAATAAGAAGACGGGAAGGCTTGAGCAGTAGCATCCAAACCCCTATCCACCCTGCTCGATGCAGCAGATAGGGCACCGTTTATTATCCTCTGCGGTGGCCAGAGCATCAAGAAATTGTTTGAAGGAAAATTCATAGTATTGCGTGGGCAGGATACTGTCAGGTTGCCCAGGCCTAGACAGGAGAACGATTAGGGTTCTCAACCAAAGCCTTTGGTTCAAAAACCTGACCGCAAGGCAGCGGGTTTGGCGTTGGGCTACAAGGAGTCCATTTTAAGGAATAAGGTGCCACCCTCATTCCAACCCCCAACCTGGAGGACCAGGAGGCTGAGTTTGTCTGGCCTCTAACCATTGACCAATCTGGTATGAGTGACTCTGAAGGTGCAAAAGCACCACCCAGCGTAGCTCAATGGATCGCTGAGGCACACAAACCATCGCACCACGGTAAGGTCCAGCCTCATTGCGATGGTTGCACGCACGCTAGAGATCCTTGGAATTGATATCTGCTGCCTGACTGAAACACGACTCCAGGGCTCTAACTCCGTCTATCAGCTGGTGTCACCGCTCCACCCACGCACTCGCTTCCATCTGCGCCTCTCTGGTGACGCTGAGTCTGCCGCATCTGGGCAAGCTGGTGTTGGAATCGCCCTCAGTGCTAGAGCCGAGACTGCTTTGATTGGTTGGATTCCGATCAATAGCCGCCTTTGTGCGATGAGGCTCCATGGCTCTTGTAAAGTTAGCAGACGTCGAATCGAAAAGCATGCTCTCTTCGTGATCTCTGTCTACGGGCCCACTGACTGTAGCTCGGACACAGTCAAAGACCAGTTCCACCAGAACCTACATGAGCTGCTCCTAAGGGCTCATAAAACAGACATCATTGTTTTGACAGGAGACTTAAACGCACGTGTCAGTCGTCTGCTACCATGTGAGCGCCACCTCGGGGGACCGCATGGATATGATGATGTTCGCTCAGACAACGGAGAGAGACTACTCAGTCTGTGTGCTGATCATCAACTATTCCTCTCCAGCACCAGCTTTCGTCATCCTGGACGCCAGTACGCCACTTGTCGCCCCATCATCAACCCAGCGCTGGTCACAGTTTGACCACATAGCCATAAGTCGCAGGTGGCGCGGCAGCGTACGCGACTGCCGATCACTTTGGTCAACATGCGTCGATACCGATCATGCACTGGTATGTCCGACTGTTTGCACGCGTTTCGGTGGTTCGCCTAGGTCCAAACACACCCGACTGAACACCCACAAGTTGGAGGACCCAATAGTGAAGAAATAGTATCAACAAAGGCTTCGTATAAATCTCGCTCTCCCACATTCTGGATGTTGATCAACACTGGTCAAGTCTGCAACAAGCCTTGCTGTCGGCCGGTTTGTCCAGCTATGGCCTCGCTCGCTCCATTCCCAAAAGCTGGATTTCGGGAAGATCCTCGGGATTGCTGGATCGCCCACGGGCGCTGCTTGCTTGCGCAGAGCACAACAAACACCGCCGGTCTATTACGCAACAGCTGCAAGCAAGCCTTCGCTCTGATCGTGAATCTTGGTGGTCAAAGCAAGCTGATGAGATGGAAGCCGCTGCATCAGCTGGCAACTTCCGCCGTCTATTTTACATCATCAGGGCCACTAGTTGCAATCTCCACGCTATCAGCCAGACGATTTGCGAATCAGACGGCACGAAGATCACCAACCTTCACAGACGATTGGGTCGCTGGGCAGAGCATTTCGCTCTTCAATTCAACCACCCAACACAGCCTCATGTGACACCTCCAGCCCCAATATATGATGCTTGGCCTGTCTCCACAGCCCCCCCCCCCCAAATGAAGCAGAGATTCGAACTGCAATCCAATCTTTGAAACGCCACAAGGCTCCGGGTCCCAACAACCTACCACCGACTCCATTCAAAGATGGAGGGAGCGTACTTGTCAGCGAAATCCTATCGCTGTTCACGAAAGTTTGGACTGAGGAGAAGATTCCGAACTCATTGAGGAATCGGTCATTTTTCCGATTTACAAGAAGGGCTCCTGCGCCGATTGCTGCAACTACCGCGAAATCTCATTAATCTCTGTCGCATCCAAAATCTTCGTGTCGGTCATACTTACCAGGCTTTCAACGACCAGAGAGGAGTTTTCCCGAGAAGAACAAGCCGGATTTCGTCCAGGCTGCGGCTGCATCGACCAAATCTTCACGCTTCGGCAAGTTCTCGAACTTCATCACATCCACTGGCGGCCAGAAATCGTAGTGTTTTTGGACATCCGAGCGGCATTTGATTCAGTAGATAGATTTGCGTTGTGGAACTGCTTACTGAAGAAAGATGTGCCCAACAAGTTTGTAACTATCCTGAAAGAACTTTGCAGTTACACGTCGGGCAAAGTTAGGGCTTACGGCACGCACTCTTCTGCATTTGCTATGACCAGCGGTGTTCGCCAAGGTTGCCTTATTTCACCACTCCTCTTCAATTTCGCCATCGAAGATGTTCTCCAATGAGCACTGGAAGGTGTCGGGGACTGCGGTCTTCAGCTGCTCCCTGGAGATAGAGTCACGGACTTGGACTACGCCGATGATATCGCCTTGCTAGGGGACGACCCACAATCCGTCCAGAGCGCTTTGGACCGCTTGGCGATGGAGGCGTCTAAGTACGGCTTATGTTTCACTCCGGGAAAACGTACAACATTGCTCCAGGACTGGCAGGTGCCTGAACCCGCACTCACCATTGCTGGATATGTTCTGGAGCAAGTCTCTTGCTTTACTTATCAAGGGAGTTGCATCACGCCTGGTGGTGGTGTTGGAGATGAGGTCTCACAACGGATTGCAAAGGCCCGCCTTGCATTCATCAAACTGAGACACCTATGGCCTCGTCGTGACATCAGTCTCAAGCTCAAGGGCAGGGTGTACAATGCTTCCGAAGCGACTCTCAGTTTTCGACAATCGCTGTCTACGAAGGATTGCTCGGGTGTGGGGGCAACACCACTTAAGCAAGGTAGAACTGCGAGACCGAGTGCTTAGAGCGAGTAGTGTCAGTCTTCAGAACGTTCTTCTCCGACATCGCATTCGTTGCCTCGGGCACGTTGTGCGCATGCCAGCCCATCGCCTTCCACGTCGAGCGCTATTTGCACTCCCAGGGAGCGATTGGAAAAAGTGCCACGGTGGACAGTCAATGACGTGGAGAAGGAGTATGAAGAAGGCAACTTCAAGTTTGGCGGCAGTCGGACTAGTACGTCTTCCAGGATGGGGACCACGAGATGCTGAATCGCAGTGGTTGGAAACATTAGACATCATGGCCCGCAACAGACATCAGTGGCGTCAATATTGTTCTGCCATTTTACCATACCTTTAATGCACACAAAACAAAACAAAAAATACAAAATGGCGTGTGTAAGACCAAAAAATCGTTTCCCATACTTTTTATTCGCAGTTCGTGTTCCCATCTTCTTCACTTTTTCTTCTGCCATGGTTCTGATGGCACAATGTTTGTTAACAGACTATATATATATATATATATATATATATATATATATATATATATATATATATATACACGGATGATGACTAGCATCTTTGAAAGAAGGAAGACGTCAACAGTACGCCCGTACGCAGTCCCGACGCTTCGTTGCCGCGCAACCAACACCGGTCGCACGTGAACTAAGGATACTGCCAAGGTCGTCCTCCCCCTACTCAGGATCGAACCATCGCCGTCACCTTACAAAACAAGCTTGTTACCTTTAGGCTACTTGCCAGCCCTTAGCCTAGAGATAACGACCTTGACTCTAGACGGTACAGTACATGGCTCGCAGTCTGCACTAGGAATGCGTTTACTGTCATCTAGTTGAATCCCCTGCATTTATTGTGTCTCATGCTGAATTATCTGTAGTGTAAGGGTGATTGTGACTCGGAGTACTGAAAACCCCAAGGAAGTTGTCTCGCCGATGCCATTTCATCTTCGCACTATAGATAACTCTTTGTGGTCGTGCTGTTTACATTTTGTTTGTAGAACGCCTTAATCCAGTATGTTTAACTAGGTCTTCTAGGTTTTACACTAGTTCCTCTCATCTGCCTCTTAGTATTTTCATTCTTTAGGTCAGTGTGATTGTGCGTCAACGGGACATCGGTTCCAGTAGCTGATGTACCACTGTTGTTCTCAGTGATGATGTTGCTGGACGCAGCTTTCAAGAACTTCAGTGTTTTTGCCATTCACCCGACAAACTTCGCGCGATTGAATGTCATTCCGGGCCGTGTGTGGTCCGTCTGAGTTTGAATTCACCGGCTCGGCACAAATAGTCTGAACTAACAAAATATTTGCCACTTGTCATGCGCACTTTTTACTCAACATAAGTTACCTTGATTGTCGTCAACACCTTCGGAGTCAACAATCACATGATCGGCAATTATTTTTGCTGTCATTTGATCACAACTCGCAAACTGGCATTTGTTGCTTCACAAGCCTAACACATTCCGGACTACATTCTGTACTTAAACATCATTGAAAGGTTATTACCTACCGTTTGCGCTTTTGCTCTAATGTTACGGAGTCATCAAAACAAGCATTCACGGAATTTGAACGTGGCTTGTGTTCTGATTGCTCGCATCGACTGTGTGATCCTTGAAACTCATTACAACCACCGAAGCCTTAGAGCATTTTTAATCAAACTGCTCTTCGGATATATATGCACACTACTCACTGCATTGACAATGGAAAGTTTCAGTTTGATCTGGTGACGTGGTGCCATCTGTCAGCGGCCACGGGACATTGTTTTTTGACATATCCTAATCCACAATCCATCCATTATCATAGGTCCTAATTCTCGGATCAGACCAATTCAACGCGAAGCCCAAACAGGGGATTGCTTTTCTGCAACAGTACCACGTACTACGTAGCCCTTTGGATCCAAACGAATTGGCACACTTTTTACGTGAAAACCCACGCCTGGACAAGCGGATGATTGGCGAGTTTTTGAGCGACCGCGGGAATGGAGATGTTCTCGCTGCCTACGTGAGGTAAGGGGTTATTTGTCAATTCCTTCTCTGTTCCTTTTCTCCTTCTGAATGAGTAATCGCTGCGTACATACATCCGTCTCTTCACGCTCCACTCTGTTTCTTTATACATAGGTCGCTTTTGGCATCACGGTCCCGTTTTATTGGCATGAAACAGAATGTGCAATTTTTTCTCCTATTACAAAATGGGATCTTGAAGTTTGGTTATTTCCTCAGTAGATACTTGTTCTGTACTATTGACCAGTCCGCTTTCGTTTACCCATTTTTTAGGTTTGTTGCAGCTTCATGCGGCGTTTTTGATCTCAACTCATTACACTTCCGGTCCATTTATTGCAATACTAGGAACATTTCCTCAAGCAATTTCTTGATGCCTCTGGCCGTCGTATCAGCTCCCGTGGGATTGAAGATGAGATCACGGACCGTATAGCAAAAGCTCGAGGCGCTTTTGTTAACCTTCGCCAATTGTGGCGCCGGCGCGACATCACTCTCGCCCTGAAGGGTAGAGTGTACAATGCAACGATACGTTCAATCCTACTGTGCGGTTGTGAAACCTGGCCGCTTAAAGCAGCGGACCTGAAGAGGCTAGTTACGTTCGACCACCGGTGCCTTCGTAATTTAGCTCACATCTGGTGGGAGCACCGCGTGAGCAACGAGCGTGTTCGACGCCTTGTTTACGGCACAGGAAAAGGAACTGAACCGCTCAGCACCGTTATTTCACGCACCAGGCTCCGATGGCTCGGCCACATGTTGGGCATGCCAGCCCACCGACTCCCTCGACGTGCGTTGTTTGCGCGCCGGGGGTGTGGATGGAAGAAGAGGAGGGGTGGCCAAGCGATGACTTGGTCGAGAGGAATGAAGGTCCTCACTTCTGAGCTGGCCTCGGTTGGAGCGTCTCGGCTCCCTGGTTTGGGTCCGAAAGACGATGAACACGTTTGGTTGGATACACTTGCTGATATGGCTAGAAGCCGACCTCAGTAGCGTCTCCGTCATTGGGATCATCCTATTCTGCTTCAAAAAAGTCAACACTATGGTATCGAAGATGCAGCATTGGGATGGATCGTCAACGGCATTTACAGGTTGCAGTCGGTACATCCTTGTCCGACCCAATTTGTGCCACCGTTCGTTAGTTGGTTCTCTCTTGTTCTTTGTCTTTACTAACGATAAAGCGAGTGTTATCACTTCAAAAGTTTCGCTCTACGCGGATGGTATTAACGTTTGGCACTCCATCAAGCGATTGGACGACCACGAGTTCCTCGAGTTGGATGAGCCCTGGCATTGTTTTGTGAGGAACATACTGCCATTCAGTGTGGACAGGTGCGTTGTTGTTCCCACGCGCCATCGATACGCTAACGTCTACAAGCTTTGGGCGCACGATCTGAAGACCACCTCCTAGGAACGTGACCTCTGTGTGCTGGTACAGGACGGCTTCGGTTGTTCCATATAGCTCGAACCCGTTTCAAAAAGGGGTAGTCAGCATCCAGTTCTTTTGCGGAGGGCACTAGGGAGTTGTAAGCCATCCATCTTTTATCTGATGTCCAATGCCCACGTGCGTCCCCACGTCGAATACGCCAAGCAGGTTTAGCAACCTTTGCGCATGCATGGCCTCGCAGCGCTCAAGAACCCGCAATGTTGAGCAACACAAAATATCAAGAATTTGCACTACTTTCCGAACTAGTAACGACTGAAGGCCCCGGAGGGTTTAGTGGACGTTACCGGCGTCGACGTGGTGACATATTACTATTTCAATCCCAATCACGCATGTCGTCACAAATCTGAGAGGCAATAGCCTGGAACTGAGTCAACAATATAGTCGTCTAAATTCTTGACGAACATGCTTCTCTCCCCAGGTCTGCCAACCCTTGAACGCCCTTCCAAATTCAGTTGTCTATGCTCCTATGTCGGCCATGTTTACAAAGCTGTTGGATGTCACGTTGAGCTCCCTACACTTTGTTACATGCACGGATTTTCTCGGATTTATTCAGTCTAAATGGCTTCTTTAAAATTATCATCCACAGTAACGCTCGGGATTCTGTACAGATGGGTGAACAATTCGATTTATATTTGCAGTAAACATTAACCCTGACAACTCCTTTTTCCCTTTTGTGTGGTATCATCTCACTCCCACAGTCTTATTCCTCTATGCTCTTACTTTGTCGCTTCACCGATGCGTATGTTATTTGGTCCAGTTGTGTTATCTTCCAATTTGCAATTCTTTCCATTAATGACCTACGGGATATGCTAAACGTCAGCTTTTACCTGTCGTTAACTATCCTTCCATTCTGTCGCATATATTGGCCCACCTGTTGTGTATGCGTTACCAACACCATCTATCCCACCTTTCTATCAACCTATCGCGCAAATCTTGCCCCGTTTTCACCCTTTTGTTTCTGATCAGGCAGTTCAACTTTGCAGGCGTATCAATTGATGAAGCCCTTCGTGTATATCTGGAGGCGTTCCGTCTACCGGGCGAGGCTCCTCTGATACAACGTGTTATGGAGCAGTTTGCTGAACAATGGTTCGCTGCAAATGATTCACCGTTCGTGGACGCGGACGCTGCATTCACTCTGGCTTATGCAATACTCATGCTCAACACTGACCAACACAATCCAAACTCGAAGAGACAGAATGCTCCCATGACGGTCACTGACTTCAAAAAAAACCTCAGCGGTAGGTCTCTGTTTTCTGACCTGTCTCGAGCTTAGCGATCACCGCCTGTAGCCCATAGACCTAATCGCTCTGGATCTATTGGCCACATGGACATTAAGGGGACACATTTCACCATCCAGTCACTTTACGCCATTGTTATTTGGACCATCGCGGCGCGACCACAATCCTTCCCTAGTTGCTAGTTTACGTACTAGCTTTCTCCATCTGACTGTACCGGGTAGCACTCCTTGACACCCTTCAGACTGCCTTATTCATCGTTTTAGTGCGCCTTCTAAGTGTTCGGATTGCGACATACAATCTCAGTGAATTCCTGCTTGTTGTGACGAGTGGCATTAGCGAAGCTTGACGGTTTGGTGTTTAAAGTGTTGGGCGGGAACAGTGCTTCTCTGGATTCACTACCTTGCTCCAATCACGTCCACATGAGGAGCCTAAACACGGGGAAATTGGTTATTAAAAGCAGTATAGGGACAGTAACTATTGTAATTTGTTCGATCTATACGATGCACTTTGCATGCAAAACTATGAACCTGTTCTCTCCACGTTAGCTATTAGACCGTGGTAGTTTTCAGTTTTCCGAACTAATTCCATGGGTCGGCCGACTAAAGTCGTTCTTGGCACGAAATTCCTTTTTCGCTCATATTCTCATTTCTGTCTTCGTTACCACCTCATGTCATGCTTTTGTTAACCGTGTTGTGTTTTTATTTTGGAACCTCACACCACTTTGTTTTATTCTCCTTCCATTTCATATTGGAAACATTTTTGTGCTTCTTGCTTTCAACTTCACATCACATAACTTTTTTTGCCTTATCTGACCTCTTCAGCTGTGACAAATATATTTACGTTTATGTATATTTATTCATTGTACGGATAGAGATGGAGCCATAAAAAACCATGAAAATAACGAAGGTACAGTTAACGTACAAAGAAACCCGAATATAACACAGAGGACTCCATGGTTTTGTCAGAGGGCGTAACACTACCCGATTGCCCAAACCGAAGTGGGGCGTTGCTTTAAAAGTTATCACTCTAAACCTTCGGCTAAATAGTTTACACGCAAGGCAGTAGAGTGTATTTAAAGAATCACGCTCATTGGGATCCGGTGGCTGATTGTTCATACACCTTTCGTTGGGTCGGATGCCTAACGGGATCCCAGTACTCTACGTGAAGTCAGCAGCTGATTGCTGGGATACAGTGTTCCACCAATGTGAAGCAAGGATCAGTGACTTTATTCAGTGGCGAGTCACATCTATCACTTTACAGCGTTGTTTAACAGACATATGTGGCTTTTTGTAGAGAGAGCGATTATCAGACAAATACCCACCGCGTCTTAGAGCACTGTTGCCGAACCATTCGTTGGAACGGGGAAACTCCGAATCGCCCAGCTGGCACCCCGATGAGATTGTTCGACAAGCCATGCTCCGGCTTTGATTCAAAATGACTATCTATTTATCTCCATTCGTTTTGCTTCCGTAGGCATGAACGGCACTGGTGACTATGACCCGGACCTACTTGAATCTATCTACACCAATATTCAGCGGAATGAAATTGTGACACCTAGCGAACAACCCGGTTTGGTCAGGGAGAACTACCTCTGGAAAGTGAGTGACTTCTCTTTTTTTCTGAACCCGAGTTGCATTTGCAAGCCATGTGTGCAGCGTTCACTTGCTCGCACTGCCTGCATCGTCTTGTTCAGTGCTTTATCCCTCACACTTTGGCTCATGATCGGAATTTTCATATAGACGTTTCTCAATTCTGTTTGCACCCTGTTAGTTCAACTGATTCTTACCTCGCTTTACACTATTTCCCTGGAAATATGAGGAAATTTTTTTCACCCAATTACCCGCAACAGATTGCTCACTGTATATTTCGGTGGTATGCATTCCATGGCGTTATCACAGTATCGGGCACTAGTCAGATCCCAACCGAAATACCGTGCACGTTGTACTTCTTTCTCTGTATGCGTGTTGTTTGATGGCCCTTGGCTAAACTGTAACTAAATTCATGGTCATTTGAAAACTCGCACACGAAGCCAAACGAATGCCCATAGAAACGGACAGATTTCATTCTTTTCGGATTCATTATAATTGCACTGCACAATACTTGGGATGCTTCCCACCTCTGGCTGACGTGTAGGATCATATTGACGATCATCGCGCATTCCGTTGGTGGAATGTGAAATCGGACAGTTGTTCACATTCTTTGTACGATCAGCTTGGTTCAGTTCAGTTTAGTTCAGTGGAACAGCTACGAGGCCAGAGCGAAAAGTTTCCGGATACGCAGTACACTTATTAGGCGTAGATGACCTGGCATGGAGATGTTAACTGTAATCCATTCTGAGCATTGTTCAGTGATTTCAAGTCACGGAACCCTATATCAACAGCCCAGCACAGCTCACAAGTCATAAGAGTCGTTTACCCCGACCATAAGTATGGAATTCGGTCTATATCATTGGAGAGCGGTGATTTTCTGACTACAAATGTGCTTTAAGGCAACATCAGAGTGTTGGGCGATTACATGCTCCGTTTGATGATGATGCTCCTTCAAGAAAGGCCGTATTTGAGTGGTTTGCGGAATTCAAGCATGACAAGCAGCCCCTAGATCATGAGGCACGGTGTGATCGACCTGTGGAGGCCACCAGCGCAGACAACATTGTTGCTGCACAAGTGATGCTGGAGGAGGACGCGCGAGGGACTGTGATGCAGCTGGGGAAAGCCACCAGGATCAATCTGCACCATTCTACATGAGAATCCCGGCCTCAAAAAGCTTTGTGCATGCTGGGTCCCCCTTCAGCTCAGTGAGGATCAGAAAGCATCTCTGGTGGATTGGTGTTGCACCATGCTTGCCAGGTCTGATGATGGACGTTCCAATGTTGTTTGGGAGATCCTCAGTGGTGGTGAGACCTGGATGTACGATTTCGACCCAGACCAAGCAACAATCAGCTCAGTGGACGGCCGTTGCGGAAGTGTCGCCTCAGAAATTCCGGCGTGAGCGCAGTGTGGCCAAGCAGATGGTGGCTGTGTTCGTGGTCAAGACTGGTCATGTGGCTACCGTGCCATTCGTACGGCAACGCACACTCACCGGAGACTGGTATGCTACCCACTGTCTGCCACAAGTGTTGGAAGCTATAGCCAAGCCTCGTCCAAGGACTCGAGTACGAAGGGTCTTACTGCACCATGACAACGCATCTACACACAGGTCCCAGGTTGTCGTAGATATTCCGGAGAGAGAACGCATTCAGGTGGTTCGTTACCCACTCTACAATCCAGACTTGGCTCCATATGACATTTTTGATGTTCCCAAATGTCAAGGGCGTGACGCGTGGAATCTGCTACGGGTCTTCAGAAGCTGCAGTAGAGGCCTTTGTTGAGCAGTTTGAATGGTTACCCGCTTCGGCATGGTCTAGCTGCTATTCCAAATGGTTAGAGCGCATAGAACTGTGCATGAACGCTGGTGGAGAGTACTCTGAGGATATGTAATACTTATTTTGTTGTAACAAATAAAACCTTACATGCATCCGGAGACTTATTGCTCGACCCTCGTATGGTCCGAGCACCGAGGTGCAGTAGACCCAGTTGCCACGACTCACATCACCGCAACAATAAATAACGACGGTATGCCAGTGAGGTCGAACGCAACTGGAATGTAAGGAGAATGAACGCAAGAAGGAAATGCGTTAGACTAATCAGTATGAAACAAAGTAACAACCGAATGCAGGAACCTCACTGACTTCGTGACTACGCCATGTCTGACACCGTCTCCAATCCTCGGTATGGACCATCCCGAGGTCCCCGTCCGGGAAGACGGCATGCGCCAGCCTGACCAAGTCTCTCATTCAATTTCTTCATGCCTCTATGCCACGCAATGGACTGGCCACCTCATGGTTTCACCCAACTTGGTGCAGCCACGGCGCATAATGCACGCAGAGGAAGCCGATTAACGGGTATATGGAGGACGTGGCCAAACGAGCGTAAACGATTAAGGTTCAATAGACACTCGACTGAGGAAGCAGAGGGTTTCTTGCCAAAAACCAACCGGCGGACCTCAGCGTTACTCACCCGGTGTTCCCACCAGACGTGAGCAATGCTCCGGAAGCACCGGTGGTCAAACACGGCCAAACGTTTAATGTATTCGCTGTGAACTGGCCAGGTCTCTGATCCATACAGTAACACGGACCTTGTCGCAGCGTTATACACCCTACCTTTCACTGACAAGCTGATATCCCTCCGTCTCCATAGATGTCTGAAAACTACACGGTCCATGCTGATACGCGATGTAACCTCTTCAATGATGTGACCACCAGAGGTGACACAGCTACCAAGATAAGTGAATCGATTCACCACTTCCAGTGGTTGTTCGCTGATAGCTAGAACCGGAGGTGTTTCGGTCCAGTCCTGAAGCAGTACTTTACACTTTGGAGGTGCAAAATACATGCCGATGCGTGCAGCGCTACACGACTGTCTATCCAGCAGTGTTTACATACTCACTGCGTCGGACCCACGAAAAGCTATGTCGTCTGCATACTTCAGGTCTATCAGTCCGTCACCTGGTAGAATTTCCACTCCGGCAGAGTCTGAAATAATCGAGTCATTCACGATCAGTTCGATCATAAAGATGCGGAGCAAAAGAGATATAGGGCAACCCTGGCGAACCCCACTTGTCGTAGGGAACTTAGGAGACAATTTCTCGTAGACCCTTACACGACCTCGGTAGTCACGGTAGAGAGACCGCATAATGGAAAGGAATTTAGCCGGCACGCCCTTCATGGATAGGCAATGCCACAAGCTGGCGCGGTCAACAGAGTCGAAGGCAGCTTTCAAGTCAATGAAAAATACCACTGTCAGTCGTCTGTATGTGTGTCTCTGTTCCAACACTTGGCGATGAGTAAATATAAAAATAAAAATAAACTTTTTATTCTCGGTAACGCGAGACAGGTCTTTACAGGCATGATCATGTTATGATAACAAGTGTGAACAAAATATACAAGAATACAATATGCTTGTCATAACAGTGAATGTATGCATAGATGTGTGTGTAACGGTGCATAGGTGTAGCTTGTGTTTGTAAGTGTGCCGTTGTATTTGTGACTGACAGCGTCGGCTATGTAAGAATAGACGATTGATGTCCGTGGATTGGATGTAATTATCCAGATATCCACGAGGCAGTGACTTTAGTTTGTGGCTAGTCACATTCACCACGTCGCAGTGTTGTTTGATGGACATTTGTGGCTCTTTTATAGGGAGAGCGCTTGCCAGGCGAAAACCCACCACGTCCTGAAACACTGCCGCCGAACTATTTGCTGGAGCGGGTTACACCCAGTTGGCACCAGAAGGGGTTTGTTCGGCTAGTCAGTCTATGTGGTAGATACAACCACGACCAGAGTGGAGGTCATCCTGACTTTCAGTGATTCGATTCTCACGAGGACTAGTAAGTTATCGAAGAATGATACTCGTGAAAAGTTTGGAGGCTAGGGAAACAAGGCTATTGCCTCGATGATTTTCGCACAATGTACACTGACCTTTCTTGAAAATGAGCACGTCAGTCGATAGTCGCCAGTCTGCAGGCACCTCTTCACTGTTCCACTTCGTGTTAAATAGAGAATGGAGTCCAGTCAGCAAAGAGTCACCACCATTTTTCAGGAAAGATGGAACAAGATCGTCGAGTCCAGGAGCCTTGTTTCGGTTTCAACACAGAAAGCTCATGTCGAATTCTTCCAAAGTGAGAGATATGACATCTATTTCCCACGTCGGCTCAGGCGATTTGACAAGCGGCAGTGTCGCAGCGTGCCTGCTGAGCTGCTCTTCAAAATGTTCCGCCCAACGGGCTAGTCGACGAGACTGTGAATGGATCAACTGTGCGTCTTGCTCAGCTATTATCTCGCTTACTGATAGCTTCCTCGGAGCTGTGTTCCGGATGAGCTGGAAGAGCATCTGAATGTTCCAAATAGCACTGGCTTTCTCCATCTCACAGGCCCTTGCAATCCACCCACCTTCCTTGTCAGACGTCGTTTCAGGGACATATGGACACGCTGAAACGCCCTGCCTATTGGAATTTGTTTTCATGCTTCGATAAACCTGATCCATGCCTCAGAGATTCATTTTCAGTTACGACGTCTTAATTTGGGTGTACATCATGCGTCAGAAGCATTCTTCATGGCACATTTGAGACGATCCCATCCAGCGTTCGGTTCACCAACCTCATTCATCACTGACATTTGATGAACCAGTTCGCCTTGATATTGTTGGACTGCAGGTTGTGAGTTTAAGTTACGTGAGGTTAGAACAGGGATGTCTAATGTCCGGCTCACAGGCCAAATGCGGCCCGCGTGAACATTTCAACTGACGCGCGGCCTCATCATGAAATAACAAATTCAGGCTTGGACTTTTTTCGTAGATGTGTACTTTTTGTTATTATCTGAATATGGCCCGTCATATTTTTACCTCACAAAATGTGGCCCTCCTTACAAAAGTTTGGACACCCCTGGGCTAGAAGAATGACACTTCTCTGAAGCTGGAAGAGTGTGCGCCAGCGTGCTCCGACAGTCTTGGACTGATGTGCGCCATCTGTAGCTGATGGCAATATGGTCAGTTTGGGTCCAGGTCATGGCAGGATTCAATGGGCGCCAGGTGACACGGTGTGAACGTTTGTGCTGGAAAGCAGTGCGACTAATGTAAAGGTTGCGGTCGGCGCATAGTTGCAGGAATCACTTTTCATTGTCTGTTCGGCATGTATCGACTCCGAAACGGCCTCCCAAGTGTTGTTCAGAGTCTGAAAGTCAACCCAATTGGGCATTCATGTCCCCTGCAACAATCAAGGTGTCACTATTCTTCACCGTGCGAAGAAGAGATGAGAGCTGTTGGTAGCAATCGTCTTTGATACCATCTGAACTTCATTCAGTATACGCATAAACTGAGGCGCTTACTAGGCGCCTTATCTTCAGGCCAGCTTGATATGATTGATACATGCTAAGCTCAGTCACGCAATGCTTCTCCGACTCTGCTGTCTCATAATCAATTATGCTGTTAGTGATGATCTGGATGGCCGGCCGGTGTCCGAGTGTTTAGTGGCGCTTTAGTCTTACTTATTGATTTTCACTTTCAATGCACTTGGTCTCTTTGATTCATTACGTCATTTGCCCTCCAGTGTCTTTTGAATCGTTCGAAGACTTCACAGGGAAAGTTTGTGCATGTACAAACTGGGGCACTGGATGCCGATCTGTTCGATCTCATCTGGGGCCCAACAGTATCTGCACTTTCGTTCATCTTCGATAAGACGAATGATCCGGCGGTTCAAAGCAAAGCTGTCCACGGTTTCATTCGATGCGCTGCGATCGCCGCCCAACATGGGATGAGCGACGTGTTGGACAATCTTATAATCTCTCTGTGCAAGTTCACCGGATTACTGACCACCGGAGAGGTAAGCGATCTTTGGATTCTCATACATTCGGTTGTCTGTGCTAGTATCACTGATAAATACTATGTACTGCATGTTATTTTGCCTGTTAGGATGATTCCGCACATAACAGGGTTGAAATTCTTTCGCTTATCTGAACGAAGCATGTTTTAGTGACCGATGAAGTCACCATATTTCCGCGCTCAAATCAAAAAAGCTCTAAATGCGCCTATGTGGGAGCATCTTCAGCAAATGCGACCCTTCGCCCAGTAGAGTTTTTTCCGCCAAAATCACGACGGGTGTACCTTAGCTTAGACTCTCTTGTTTGTTCATTCGGACTTTTTTAAATCGGCTGCACATCAGCATATCGATTTACGCATCCGGCATGTGTATGTGCTCCGTCTCTTATTCTCTACTCTTCCTCTTTCTGCTTTCCAAAAAGACTGGGACAATTGAGTCTAGGTCAGCGTTTTGGGAACTCGCTGACAATAGCATGCATACCACATTCTCTCCAATGCTCAGTCTCGCTATGCCAGTTCGAAGTGAGCCACTTAATGTGTGGTAACCAGCTTACCCTAGTCTTCCTCTGTGGTCTGGTGCCGGTGTTGACGTGATACGCTTCTCTCCTGTCACCGTAGCTGCGCTATACTTGAATGATTGTTCACTCGTTTTCAAATGCCCGGTACTTGTCCTTCATGATGTTACTAAGGTGCTCATTCGTCTGCTACTGCCGTTTTGATTACTAACGAAGCCGTTGTTTTTGCGGGCAGTATGCTTTAAGCATCGGGTCCATCATTACTTGACTCCTGAACAACAAGTGAGCCACCACCTACTCCTCGACCCAGCCTGATGTGTGCTAGAGCCGAGGACCATCTTGAGCACCTGTTTCGCCCACAAAATGCATATATGTCGTAATGGCGCACGTTGCTTTTGCCGTCTTTGGGTGTCGTCATGACCCATCTACGGTGTTGGTCTCGAACAAGTTGTGGTTCGCGCCCACTATGGATCTGCATTAGTGGTGGCGTCTGTTTGACGCAACACAAGCGATTTATGGGCACAAGTGTCCTGTGAACGTTCGAGACCAATGTGACGTGTGAAAATGAATGCCTTCACTGTTTTAACGACTGCTTACTTCTGTGCTATACACCATCAACTTCACTCTTCCAGTATTTTATCTCAGTTCTCCCTATTGGTTGCAGATTGTTGGCACTAGATCGCTTCCTGTGACTAACAGATCAGCAATCTAAACATTTGTCCTCACTATCTTCAAATGCTATGCGTACATAGCTACTTTGTTGTGGGACTCGTTTCCTCGGAGTTCAGCAACTGTTCTCTGCGATGGAAGGAACATGCATGACAGTGGAAGATAGGTTGCTTTATATCCCAGTTAGCTTGCGAGTTTAGATGGTCTGTTTCCATCTCTATGGTTCAGTTGCATAAGTTGCTTCTTAGTTGGCGTAAGCTGGCCATGGGTTCCGTTCCCAACAGGGGACCAAAGGAATGCACACCTGACGAGCCCCAATAGGGCGAAACCATCGACCGATACTTTTCCGGATTGAATTTAGAATAATCTGGCTTGTGAACAGCTGGGATGAATCAGAAAAGACCCATTTATTATTCCTTCACTTCGTAAGTTATTTTTTGTTAAGTGGATGGCGATTTAAAATGTTCCTATTCCAGCTAGTGTTTGCCGGATAATATTGCTCGGTAACATTGTTGGCTCACCTCGACTGCGTCACATTTTTAGCAAACAACTCGATGTACTATTTGAGGGTGGCCTAGACCGCTGGGTCGCCGGTCAACTAGTATTCTGGTCGCTAACACTAGCCCCCTGTCTTGTTTGAAGACAGCATTTGCCGTGCGTCTACCGTCTTCCACTTGAGCTGGCAACTACGTTTGATTTTTCGCCCAGCTTTGTGTCCTGCGCTCATTAACATTAGGAATTTCTGTCCGCGAGGTCAGAAAGCAATGCCCTTGTGACATTATGTGACAACTCTTGCATCTTCGTTTGATCTCATTGCTATACTTGACTATTGTTCAGCTCTTTTGTTCGCATTTTTCAGACTATTGCTAGCTTCTTCCGCATCATAAATGTCTGTCCAGGTGCATAATGCCGTGTCCAACGATTTATGCCCACTTCCCTTTTATGAGCGAAATGTTAGTCCACAAACCCCTAACCCCTTGTATTTTGTCTTTATACGACCCGCTGGTTGTTGAACGCCAGTCGCTCTCTTTGCTTTATGCACTGACTCGTTTTTCACACAAATGTTAACTGTTTTGAATCACAGTAGACGGACGAAAATGGGGACCCAATTTCTTTCGTCCATTCTGCTCTACATGTTAGAATAAGTTCGACTATGATGTATGTGGCAAAACTGCAAGAAAGTTGCCTCCTCAACATCCATCTGTCTTCACTCGATATCCAGTTGTCTCTGATTGTGCGCAGTTGGTAAGGTTTAAACACCTTTATTCTGAGTGATCGTTAGCGGTATTTGTGTCTCCGCTATCTCATCATCGAACCATTATGATCGTGTGGGAACGCAACAACAGCACTACGTTCTGTTATTGTTACGGCTGCTACTGTTGCCGCTGAATCCGCTTGAATGCGATGATTTCCACTCTCCCAAAATCACCGCCATCGTACACCCGACTGCTTGAACGCTGTCAGCGGCTAAAACAGTACCTATGGACAGGTAGAGCACATATTCAAGAATCGGTCAGGATACAACTTTCGTCAAGCGATTACTATCCGTCGATCTTCACCAATCCCTCTCATCTCACACATGACCCATCACAGGTACTGTCCTTCAACTAGTCTTAACCATTGAGCGGCATCAGAGGTTGGTTGCAGGTCATTTCGTTCCACCGAATGCTTTCTGTTCCCTTTCTGCAGAATCCGTCTAGTCTGTCTGTATCACTTGGTCGTAATGCAAAGGGCCTCCTTGCTTTGAGGTTGGTGTTTGCCCTCACTTCGAGCCATGCGGATATTTTGCGGTACGGTTGGCATTCACTGCTGGATTGCCTGCTCCAGCTGTTTCGGGCTAATCTGCTCTCGGACGATCTGACCGAGTCAGAAGACTTCCTTGCCCCGTCTCATCGCGTCCGGATTACTGCGAGGGGTTGCGTACCTATTGTATTGGATCCAAAGGGCCGCAAACGGAGCGCGGGTCAGGGCCAGTCAAATCGGTAAGTCAAGCTTTCATCCGGTTGTCTTGATGTTTCATTTTACGTGATCAGTCATGATCCGTGCATTTTATCACAACTCGAATGATCTATGAGTCTAAGCTCTTTTCAACGCACAACGGTTTCACTCCGTTTGCGTTTGCCCCACAAATACCACCAGATTGATCTCAGCTGCAACCATCTCACACACAGGGCGCAATGAGCAGTGTTCAGGCATAGCGTGTGTAACAGCGGTACAAGCTACATCGAGTTAGGTCGCACATATTGTATATAAATATTGCTAGTGCGAGCTGTAGGTCTAGGCCATGTGCATGGTCTAGATAGAAAACGATTGGGACAGCAGCGTTTGTATTATAATCCTGTAACCGTGGTTTTAAAGGCCAAAATAATGTGCAAGATAGGACTCATGGTTAGGTTTGCAACAGTGACGGAAACCGAGAACACTAACAGTGATGTTAATAGCAGACTGATGAAAGCATGACCTTGAGAGGAGTGCATGCAAATAAGGTGAATGCAACACGATACTCGTTTGTGTATGTAGTGGTTTAAAGCACGAGCAGCATGCTATTAGCTCTGAGCCATCAAGACGGAATAATCGATCTGGTACAGGAAAACAAAATTCTTTTAGAGATTACAGTGTGCATAGCGCCATGTCTCAAGTCTTCGCTCTAGCTATATTCAAGTGCCGGTTACCCGAGCATCATTGTACCCACATCCAATGGTTGGTTGTCTTATAGCATTAATAGCGATTCGCCGACAACATCAGCAGCTGAGGCCCTGGCGATCTAACTTCAAGATTATGAACCTTCCTCCTTCCAGCTGCAAGATGACACTGCATCATCCACCCACGAATATAGATTACACTTTAACGTCTGTACTGATATCCTTTTCATTCCCAAGCTGCAGATTTGACTTTCGTTAGTCGTGGCATTTTCCACGCCCTATCTGCTTTCGTCTACAACTACTCGCATCATCTGGGCTACTGAATGCAACCCATCCTCTTACCAAGAGATCTACACTGAAAATCGGCTCAATTCTCAGTCTACACGCTTGCGCAATTTACCGAATTGCTGCAAAGTTCTGATTGTCGGTGGACACAGAATGATAAACCCGTTTGGGTGAGAGTCTAGTAGCCATGCATTCCATCATTTTTTTCGATATTACTGCATTTTCTTGATACTTGTTAGGCCTAATCACCTTCTGTAATGCGCTTTGAGCAAACGACCGAGCCTGGTCGGCCCGACAGGATAACCGCGGATCATAAGGTGCATCAGATCCGACCGAGCGAGCAAACCTCACGCAATTGGACTCTGGATCACCGCGATGGTTTAGTAACCAATCACGTGAAAAGAAGCCGACACTATGTAATGGAGTTTCAGAAATTGCCTAACCGCGGATCATGAAACACAGCAGGTTCGCCCGATCCAGGAAACCTCACGCGACTGGACGGTAACCAATCACGTGAAAGAAAACCAATACTGCGACATAGCAAACATACCAAATGCATGTTACGTGTGTTGAAAAGCCGGAAGAAGAGATTGGTCAGCTAAACAATGAGTGAACATTGACGACCCAAAATCAGTATTAACGGCGGACCTTCCGGGTACCAGTCGAGGATTGGCGGACCGGAGAAATACGACCAATTTGGTACCAGTTAGTTAACACAGGCGACATCAAGACGCAGTCCAGCGATAGGGCGAATGATGGGGCATCCACCACCCAGTGAAAAAGAAAGAATGAAAACGCAACCCATGAGGCTAATCGGGTGACAAGCTACCGAGTGAAATAATGTGAGAGAGAATAGTGTACTTTTTTATAAATATGCGAGGCCTCTGGAACTAAACCATTCTGCTGACCGCCACCAAGACTTCGCTTTTGATTCCCATCGCGTCTTACAACACCTTCAATCTATTTTTATTCATCCACCTTCTACCTGTCTGCTTGCAAAAACCGCAATGAGCCAGCTTCGGCTCTCCAACTTCTTAATTCGTTTCCTGTCTCCCTGATTTTCTACATTATCACTAGCCGTGTCCTCCAGTTATGTAATTAAGCTGTGCGTTTTCTACTCTTGCGCTTCCTTTTGATCTAGTGAGCTGAGTGTCCTGAGTTCGTTTTACCAATACTTTACTTCTGGATCAGCATGGAGTGGCTCCGCAGATGGAGAGGAAGTGGAAGAAACCTCACCACAGCAATATCATTCTGACGATCTGGATGGTCGGATGTGGGGATCCACTCCAAGTCCTCCCACGGGATCACGACGGAAATTGCAAGACCAGCTGAGCACAGCAGACTTCTGGACTGCTCCGTTGCACAGCTCCCAGTTGGACGAATCCCGGGCTCATCAGATTGCGTATGAAACCATCCAAGAGTGCGACGTAGCACAGCTAATCAAGGACACTAAATTCATCGTGGATGCGTCTTTAAACGAACTTGTCAAGGTGAATACTTTTGCTCATGCCGTGTTTTGGCCATGACCGTGATACTAGCAAGCATTTCCGTCCAAAATTTAACCAGGTCACATTTGACCATTTCGTTTTTTAAATAACTCGTCCTTCCACTTGCAATTCTGTCACCTTGGCTGTTCACATGTTCCGACTTATCTGCGTTCATCTATTTATACCTGCTGTCTGAAGAGCGTTCTTTCACTATTCGTCCCTCTTTTATGTTTTGCAGGCTTTGCTTCGCGCTATTCGCGGAGATCCTGTTGGCAACTTCGCAGAACGCAGTGGCAACACGGCAGTTGAATCTTCGGGCCCCCATCCTTTTGTGACACGGCAAGACAATTCGATCAATCCTGCAGCTACTTTAGAGGATCGTTTTACAGAACAAAAGCTAAGTGTGTCCACCGCGGGGCAATCAGTTCACTTTGATTCTACCCACACAGTCCGCCGAAGTGTACCAGCACCGTCGACAACCGCATATTACCCTTCGTTTTGTTCTATGGGTGGTTCTCCCGCTGAAGATTGTAGAATGTTTTGTCTCGAGTTGCTCATTCGGATCTTGCTTCACAACCGAGATCGTGTATCCAATCTGTGGCCTTTGGTCCAGTGCTATCTAGCTGATTTGCTCTCCGTGGCCGTGGAACCAACTTCTTTGCTGGAACGCGTCATAGTGGGATTTCTCCGCTTGGCTATCTGCCTCATTCAACGACATGAGATGACCAGTCAGGTAGGCTGTCCCCCAATTTGCGTTACTTTTGCTGCAAACCCTGAACAGATGGAACATGGAGGAGTTGCGCGAGGAGTTATGGGCAGCTCGAACTGAGTTTCTCTACATTTACCAAATGCATATTAGCGTTTCACGCCATAATTACGTTGATATATGCCCTTTGCCTAATTTGAAACTAGTTACTTTACCGATTCGATGACGAATTGTTTGGCTCACTGATGACTCTGCTGCCACAGCTCAGTCTCTGTTTTCTCTTGCATGTTCTTGGCGCACTTCCAACTAAGTGCTGACAACTACGTGACGAAAGCCAATCAGTGAGAAAGCTATCATAATCAGGGTAGCTTAGCGGACTTCACATATCGACATCGTGTCCCAAATCGCTTAACCTTAAGATCAAGTCACGATATGCTTTATGTACCCATATTGGTGCATTTTCAGCACTTTTCCCTATCATTACGGATATACTAAAGCGGACTGACGAAGGAAAGGAAAAGTGAGTACAGTTTCACTCGAGCGTACGATCACTCAACATGTGCATCATCCCTGTCGGGCCTACTAGTGTGCAAAAATAGCACATTGAACTTCGACGGCGTAGAAGAAATAGATCAGTCTCCATACCTCGGGATTGTGCTAACAATCGGCCTGCGTAATTTTTTGTCTTGTACTGAATGCGATTAGCATAGAGAACCTTTTACACGTTTGCATGCTGTAGCATTTTCGAAAACGCGAAAGAATTCGTATTGCACTGCGTCTATCAATGTTGCAACGCATCACACGTGTAAGATGCAAAGAAAGAGTTCAATCCTACAAACGCATCGCGAAGTATTTTCGCTACACGGAGTCATGGCACGAACTCCTATCGAGTACATTTGATCCATATCAGCGGTCATTTCAAAACATTATACTTCTTACTACAATTGGTTTACAAATATTTATCTGATCACTCTCCATCGGTTTGTAAGATATTCTGGTGATTTTTTTCTAAACCCGGTCGTACAACACGGACGTGTGTTTCTTTTCATCAGAACAAAGCACTCCATTTCGCTTCCTTGTCACGCATGTACTCCTAGCTGACCGCCTCTGAACTGCTTCCGGTTTTGGTGAAGCTTCTTCGCAGCTAGACAAGCAGACAAGCACCACACATCCAGGGAATCTAGACCTTTTCTTAATTTGTTGCATCGTTCCCCCAAATGTTTGCATCGGTGACGCTTGAAGCTGCATCACTTGCGTCATGTGACACGTTGCACCTGTGCACCTGTATGAGCCATACTTATGGACTGTGTTCGCGACGTGAGATCACGGGATCGTCTTGCCATCAACCTTTTTATCCAACTATGCCAGGTAATCAGGTTTACGTTCAGTATGTGTGCAGCATGCTTCCAGTCGCCTCCCTCTCCACAAGCCTTGTACCATACTCTTAACCTCCCCCGAGTGCCGCGTACGAGTGCCTTTCTGTGACATTCGGAGCTGAGCAAGCTGTTGAACTAACTGCACGGTTCCACTCAACTTGGTGTGCCTATGGAGTTAACTTCACCGCTGTGACTAACGTACCAGTGCAGTCGGTGGCAAGGCGATCACGTGATCTCGTCGCGAACCCAGTCCATTTCTCAACTAGATGAGGCACAGTCCAGCTAATCTGGTCCGATCATAAGGTACAAAGGAAATGCAGACTGATTCTTCTGCCATTTCGTTTTAAAATTCGTCGGAATCCACGACATTGTCGTGGATTATGTTTAGACGGATGGTTTGGAAAAGAAAGCAAAATAACAACGTTTTAGGTGATGAATGGCAATATGTACATAGAAAATGTAATTAAAAAATTCATGACGTTGGTATATAACGATAATTTATAAATAGTGAATGTGTCTGAGCAGACATAATGATACAGCAAACGGTTACAATGAGAACTGCCTCTATCATGAAACATAAATCAGTTAGAAGTAATGACCTAGCTCACACAAGAGGTAAAATATAAGTGCACACGGCGAATGGAATTAGGTACATATATTGGGTGGTTAGTTACAAGACATCGATGTCCTACGCATGATTGTACCGCGATGATCTTGCCTGTGTTGTCGTGCCTCGCGTTGCCAAAAACAAACAAATTATTTATGTTTATCTTCCTGGTAACATCGGTATGTACTGGGTAGGAGGGATCATCTTGGACCTCGAAAGAGCTTTTGCTACGTGCTACTGAATGCTTAATGACGACGAAAGCAATGCTGTGCTCTTTTCCCAATCCGGAGCATCGGGAAATAGATTCTTAAGGCACACAAGCATGATATAATCTTCCTGAACGTGTTCGCAGTAAGTAACGTGGGACAACGTAACCAGTCAAGGGGAATAGCTGCTGTTGTAACAGAATCCAACCACTGGGTACAGGGAGCTTATGCGTGGACAAGGATAAAACATAGGACAAGCAAAACTGAGATGCTTCAAGGTAGATGAATGAGTTATGTTTTGATCACTTACAAGAGATCGCAGCTTATCGGTACGGAGAAAACCGTTACATCACGGCACTTGGAGCGCTCTAGGCGACGGACCGAGACCGGGAGCATAACCAGCTTCAAAGATTCTTCAGTGGTTGGGGCCATACACGTTAAGATGTTGACGTCACTTCTTTCAGTCTCAGAAAGGTCCACTTTGAACCTTCACTGGTACAAAGAAACCGAGTCATTTGAACCGAAATATCTCATTCCGCCATCTTTCCAAGACGATGATAACTCATTAATGGTGACACTGCTCAGCGTTGAAAAGCGCGTTAGGTGGGTACCTTATGGTTGGCGATTGTCACTAGTCATCCATATTTTAAAAATGTGTTGTCACCATGAAACTGAACCTTGCGACGGTTTGCGTACCTCTGACCCGTTAAGTTACCCTGCATTTGCCCCGGGTTTTATTAGCACTACTCCAACCAACTTTGTCATTAGTTGGAGGTCAATCTCATGTACCTCCAGGTTGTGGGTTGAGTGGTGCTGCTTGATAGCCGCGGAAATATCCCAGTCGAGCATCGTTATAATGACATGCGTTGCTCTGCTAGTCGGCAGCTTAAACAAAACCTGAGTAGTGACCACGATGTTCGGTGGTTTCTGCTTTAACTTGCAAGCTCTCCTATTTCCCTCGATCCACCGGCCACAGGGATTCTGGAGTCGATGATACTATTTACGGAACGGATGGTTCACCGGTCACCAAACTACGCGGCTCTTGATTTGACTGGCCTGACGTTAGAGCCAGTACCGGTTTAGCAGAACCATTCAAGAGCACGATTGGTTGCAAGCGTAGCCTAAGGGTAACAAGTTTGTCTTGTAAGCTGACGGCGCGGGTTCGAGCCTGCGTAGGAGCAGGGCGATCCTTAGCCCACGTGCGACCAGTGGTGGTCGCACGGCAGTGAAGTGTCGGTATTGCGTGCTGGTGCACTTCTGATGCCTTTTTTCTTGATTACCATCGCATGCAGCTACAATCGGGTGCACAATGAGCTATAACTAGATGTGTCATAGCTATGTCCGCATGAAGTGCATAATGAACCAAGCTCAATTAGAGGCGCAAAACACTAATTCCACTGATTTGCTTTTGAGTTGTGCCACACATCCCACTTGACTTCCCATCTAAATTACTACCGCACTTGAGTACGACGACGAAAAATAACGACCGTTTTCCTCCAGCCGTGTTCTCATTCTCTGTCCGCGGGCCATACGAAACGGACAAGATCGTTACTGAGCCGATTGTCGGAATCGATCTTTCAGTACACAACTTACAACACGGAGTGCAGTGGTATACTCCGTCCTTACCATGCACTTGTGTGCCTAGCGCACATTGTCGTCTTCCCTGGATCGTCTCACTGGATCCACCCAGCGATGTTGAAATCTACGTTGCGACTAAACACAAAGTGATTCTAGACTATCGGCTCAGACGGATTTCCTTCAGAGCTAGTCAGGTATGACAACGTGATAATCATGAACCAGCTGTTTTCGTTGTTCTCTCATATCCGACATGAAACGAAAGTGCCTTCAAGTATTGTCCTGATTTACAAGAAAAATGCTTATGATTTATCTACCAGTCCCCAAGAGACCACTCTTATTTCGCTTGCCTTCAAGGCATTGGTATCAATTCTGCTGCGTAGACTGTCCCTGATTCGTGGATCACATCGTGAGGAACAACTCAGCTTCTATCTTGGCCGCGAATGTATGCACCGAAATTTTCAAGTTCTACAAACTTTGAATTCCACTATCTAAACCGCTGGACTACTCTCATCGCTTTCTTGGACATCCGTGCTTCATTCGTCCCGCTTGATCGGTCTGCTCTATGGCATTGCTTAGTGAAAATGAAGTCCTCCGTGCTCTCCACCTTTCTGTCCGCGGCAGTTTGAAGGTTTACTGTAGACTTTCTCCGTCCTTACCTGTCGGCAGCAGTGTACGACAATGTTGTCTTATGCCCCGTCGCTTATCAATTTGCACTGGAGGACTTCATTGCAAGTCTTCCGAAAGGTTACCCACATTTTGACTTGAGGTTCCTACCAGGTAGTTATGAAATCGTTGACTTCAGGCCATGCCGCCATTAGATCCACACGTACGCCTAGTTGGGGACCGAAGGACGAAGAACGCCGATGGCTGCAAACAATTCAGAATATGGTGCGCAATCAAAACCAGTGGAGGATTTGTGTACATAACTGTTCACGCTGTTTCACGCTTAACGGTTGCAAACAAGAGAAAATGGCTTGTGCAAAATAACAAAAATGCTCCGTTTTTTTTCTTTTATTGCGGCACAATAACTAAAGTGTGTTGCTCACGTTCAGCTAACGTGCCATGATGCGGTGTTAAATCGATTTTCTTCCAGTGATTTCCAGGGTTTTGTTTGGCTCTATGTCTATCAAATAGAGTGCTGCTTATGCTACTACTACCAGGTAGGCGCACCACTGACTTCGATTACGCTGATTGCACTGTTTTGCTTGATGATGACTAGCAGAGTGTACAACTCATTCTGATCCGTTTGGATGTTGATTCATTTAAATGCGGTATGTGCTCCACCCCCTCGAATGGTAAAGAGCTGCTCCAGCATTGGCACACTCACGTTCCACTGCTCACCCTTGAAGACTTTGTTTGAATTTCTAGAGCGCCTCGTTTACTTACGGAGTCACATACATACTGGTCAACTCGAAATAAGATTTATAAACTCAGCTGGAAACATTTTCAGCGTTTTACATTAGCACTGCGGATGCAATGACGCATAACATTTGCACTAAATTGCAATCAAGGCGTAAAATTACGCAAATGTGCATGCACATTACTCAAGTGAACGTTCACGCGCGGTGTTCATATATATATATATATATATATATATATATATATATATATATATATATATATATATATATATATATCCCCATGTTGAGGCTGATGTTGCATTCTTGATGCTCCTTTACGGCAGTTGGGCTAAACCAACGTACATTTAAACTAAGTCTTTTTAAGCTGGATAAATTTCATTCCACTTTATTTGGTTTGTTCTGCCTACCTGAATAATCTTCTATTAACTGGCCACGTTGTTTACGCTAATTGCGCTTATCTTCGGTAACTTTGTTGCGTTTGTAGCATTTTGAGTAACTTGTGGACATTTTTTCCTTATCGCGGATTCATTGGTAACGAACTTACTTCATATGCTAATTTAGCGAAGAGTTATGCCACCGTATCTGTATGCATTATTGGATTTATTTTATTTCATCTTGTCGTTTCAAGTGATTGGTTGTTGCTTGATATCCCGGTGTGGCTGCGCTTGATGTGCATGTTGACAAGGTGCCTACCTGTCTATTACCCACTACCTTGTCCATACTGGCTCCAGGAGACAGTTGGTCGTTGCTGGAGGGACGGGGTGCAACATCCTCGTGACGGTGCTTGGCTTAGAGAGTGGTCCCATCCTGTGTAGAACGGGCTACGGTCCAGCCACCGCCTTGTGTGCGCTTAATTCCCAATTACAGTGTGCTTGTGTTTGCCTGTGAAGGAGTGTGGGTCGGCTCCGTTGATGAAACGTCGCTCCCATCCACATGCCTCCCTGTCTTATTCCTTCGGGTTTACACTGGATATGGGGTGTGTGGATGGAGCTGTGAATGGTGCAGCGCAAGCCACCCATGGTCCCTCTGTAGGCGCAGGCATCCGGTGGCTGGCCACAGTGACAGGCGAATCTGCAGCCGGATGCCGAAAACCATTCAAGTGGTTATAGGACATAGCTCGTAGTCGGCACCAGTGGCGCGTCTGTTATCGTCTCGTAGTCAGACTGCCTGTTTAAAGTGTGTTTGGTTATAAGTTATCTGAAACGCAGTAAAGGCCGCAAGGAAGCTGTCTCGCCGATGCCGCCTTATCCTTGCACAATAGCCAACCGCTGGTGATCGTATCTTGTTGGCAAGGTGTAATTCACTGTTTTGAATCTGTGTAGGTGCGCGCGACCATCATTACACTTTAAGTGATGGTGTGAAACACTTCGGCCAATGTACCGCAGTGCAAGTACATATATGAGATGCAGAACATTGAAGAATACCATATTAAAGCACAAAAGTATTATGCTGCTCAGTATCATATCATGCTTTACGTGTGAGAACGTGACTATAGGAGGAAGGTAAGCAAGAGGGATGAGACAAAGAAACTCAGAATATGAACGCCATTAAAGTCGGCTCTTCACCACGTCAGCAAGTGTATCCAACAACCATGTTCTTCTATCGTAGGACCCTAATCTGGCAGTCAGCAGAAACCAACCGACGCCAAGTTCGAGCTGAGGGACTTCAATCCCCTTGACCGAGACACCGCCTGGTCCCCTCTACTTCCACTCACACCTTAACGATCTTCCTGTTTTTTGCGGTCAAACATTTGTGCTAAATGTCTGCTTGACGACCTAAATTGTTCTCCCAGTAGTTTTCAAGCCCTACCAGTGTCTTAGTCCATGCACGACCGTGAATGGATGAACTTGTCACCAACATCCAGCCACATACAGCATCGACCGATGCGTGCAATTTACTGATATACTACTGGGTAACTTGATGATAGCTTAGAAACAGGACGTGTAGCATCATCTATCACCTGTAAGGCATTCACATCCCAACACTGCAGCTGCCTATTGTCCCTTGATATAGCGGAATCGGTGAACACCAAACTGGTTTCCGCTCCAACACGGTTTGTGTGTATACTTCTACGCCTACAGACGCCATAATACTGTCTTTTCCACCCGAACTCTGTCCTTTACTGAGTTGATTGCATACGTTGTTGCGTTGTTGGCCTATAAAGATCTCACTGAAAACATTTCCCTCCCCTAAGCTCTTTATCATGCATTTGAGGCTCTACAGGCGACTGCCCTCTGAGCTAGCCACTACAAGCGAGGTTCGTTTCGGTTGTCTTACTGCTGTTACTCACCTTTGCTATTGACTGTGGATGAAAATGTTCTCTTCATTCCTTTTTCTGCTGAGTATTTCACTAGTCTGCCTAACGATTAAGTGCGATTATGCGAGCAATCAAGCGTTTTTTTCGCGAACACTCTCCGTTCTCGGACAAAAGCTTATGAATGGAACGATGCACAGTGGCTTGTCTCACACATTTGCAGTGTTGAATATTACTACGGGATTGCGCCGATATGTCAGGGGTTGTCAACACCACCGAGCAACTACTCGACGTCTGCGATTGGCTCACCTCTTTAGTGGGATTTGTGAACGCTGATGTCCTTATCGTTGTTGAAGTCAATGGCTGCGTTGACGAGGCTCAGATGAGTTGACAATGCCTTAATAATCGACTGCGGTGTCGAGATATTGGTCATTCGGACAGTTGTAATGTGCAATGCGGCATTGCATCCAGTCTGACTGTACGTATCGGGGGTGTGGTCACTGTAGGCCAGTGTCTGAGTATTTGTCACTACTCCTATTAATTGTTTCTGAATCTGCTGTGAGTAGCGCGTAACTCCATTGGTCCATTAGAGAAAGCTTCACTTGATATCGTACTGGCCATCCGTTGACTGAGTCCTTTCCTTGCAATTTTTCCGTCTTGTACTTCCTTATTTATGATTATCGCAGTGGGGGGGGGGTAAAATGCGTTCGATGACATCGCTTAAAAGTACATTATGCTGACCTGAATTTCTTTTCTCATATATTCCTTCCTTCTTTGTTGTGATTCTTGTGATTGACCGCACCAGTGACTGAACACCACCCAACTCGTCTCGGTCACGGAGCAAAACATGACCCCTATGTTTCGCTTCTCTATCCATTCGGCCGCCATTGCCCCCGTCCTCATTACTCGTAGAACGTGTTATTTCTTAGTCCGCCCAATTGGACGCCCGAAACCTCAGTCTTTGACCATATTGGGCATTATTCTCCTAGTATCTTTCTGCCAGTGTTTCGTTTTTATCCTTTATCCTACATCATTTTTCTACCCATACTGCTCCTCTACTTGATGTTCTTTATATACTTACCAACCGGATACGGTTTTTAACATAAGTGAATGCATGGGTTCTAAAACAGTTTGAAGTCTTTCTCAATCTTGTCCAGGCGAACTTCTTGCTTTGTGCTTACTGACTGTCCAACAGTTTCACTCCTTTGCTTCCTTCATGCAACACAACAAAAACGTTATGCATGATAGTGTTTTTGCACTTAACTCCACAAGTCAGAGCTCTTTTCTGTATGATTGCGTTCGTGTGCTAATTGGGGCCTGTGCTTTTCCAGTAAGCCCGTGAAAACTGTCAATCGTCTTCAGACCGTCATCTGTTCGCTGAAATCTGCCTTGGGCTAATAAGCCGGATGGTCTGTGTTCTTACTTTTAGCCGAGAGAGTCCTCAGCTTCGTACAATATCTCACCAAGTTACTACTGCGTCACTGTGTACAAAGAGCTGGTGGCTATCGAAACTTCCCTAATAATTATGTTCATTCACTCGTATTCACATATCCATTGTGGCTTCAACTATACTTTCAGTTGGGAACTCGCTTACTTTGTCTTTCGGTGTCAAATGCCACATAAAAATGGGCGCCTTTTCGCGACGTTTTTCTATTACTGCAAACCTCCTTTTTCTCAACGCTGAATCGTGCTCCTTAACTATGATTTATATCCCCCAGGTGTTCGCCTGTTTGCACTACATTCTGCTCACTCGCGGTGATCAGCTGTTACTTTGCCGTGCATCGGATTGCGCCCAACAGCGTGCTCCAACTGTCGGTTCGAAGCCTCACGCTTCAGGATGCAACAACATGATTGGTCTTCAAATTGTAGCCGGATTATCTCAGCTACTACGCCACCATGCTGCCGATTTGCCCGACCCCGTTACCGATTGGCAGTTGCTTTTTAATCTTCTTGAAGTGACTGGAGCTGGTGTACGAGCACAACCGAGTTTCCTAGATCGTTCGCGACTCTCTCACTGTGAGTTTGCACGCTGTTTACTAGCAACTCATGTGTGGTTTCACTCTGTTCTCACTCGAGTATAATTGTTGACCAAAAGCATGGCATTTTTCGCCGCATCACCAACTTTAGTTAAACTCTCGTGATCACTGATAGGACAAAGCGCCTCTGCTTGACTTTCCCTCGCACTTTAATGTTGTTTGTCTTCTTTATCACTCAATCCACACACAACTCATACGCGCACACCTGTTGCACATTCAAACAAATATTTTTATGCACTTTTATCACAGTATTACACGCATTTCCTCTCCCTCCAATATTTCATTTCCTTTTTCAACATGTTGTGGAACTCGGTTTTACATATATTTGGCGATATCCGGTTCCGGATTTCCCTGTCACTGAGGCCTCAATAGGACAGTCACAACACACCTACGCCTACAGAGGGACCATAGGTGGCTTTTGCCGCACCATCCACAGCTCCAATCACACACTCCATATTCAGTGCAAACCCGAAGGAATAAGACCGGGAGGCATGTGGATTGGAGCCACATTTCATCGTTTCATCGCTGATAAAACGATACGCTCAAGTCGGGTGGCCAAATAATGCCTCTCCGTAATAGAATGTCAGCTCATCCTCCAGACCGGGTGTTTACTGTGGGGCGCACGAGTTACAGTCCCCAAAAGATCTCGGTCACGTATGCTCGATGAACTACACGACGCGCACCCACGAGTTGCCAACATTTAGTCACTGACTTGCTCTTATGTGTGGTAGCCCGAATTAGACGATGACACTGTAGCGTGGGTTGGAAATTGCAGACTCTGTCCAGAGAACCGGAACGCCACTCTCCATGCACCAATGCTGCCTTAGAAGTGGTCAGAAACACGCTGGAAACGCGTCCACGTAGACTTTTTCGGTCCTTTCGAGGGTCAGATAATCTTATTGATCGTTGACGTCCATTGTAAGTGGATTGAATCCGACACACTTCAGCTAGCATCATAACTAAAATGCGCACAACCTTCGCGACGTTTGGTCTCCCCGAAACATTAGTATCTGACAATGGGCCAGCGCTTCTAGTGCCGAGTTTTCTACCTTTCTTAGCTCGACGTTACACGTAACTACCGCACCTTATCATCCGCCTTCCAACAGGTTGGCAAGAAGGACGGTACAGACAGTGAAAAATCCGCTGACAAAACAACCAAATGCCTTATTGTGCGTGCGTTTCGATCAATCCCCGTTTGCGTGCCGGAATATGCCAAACGAGACAACCGGTAGAGGCCGGACAGAGATAATGTTCGGTCGTCGCTTGCGTACACGATGCGATTGACTGCATGGGATCATTGAGTCACAAGGTGCTGAAAGGCAACAACGAGCGAAGGAACATTTGCTACTAGCAGCAGGGATAGTATTGTGACAGAGTCACACCCGGTTTACGTCTGTTTACCAACAGACTCTGGGTGAGAGACAGTCGTCGCCAAAACAACTAACGGACAGATCGTAGAAGCCGAAATTGAGATCGGCCGCATGGTGCGGTGCCATTTGGACAACGTGTGACAAAGATTATCGAACCGAGAAACAAGTCTTAAATCAGAACCACCATTCCAGTCACCGACCGATATGCAGCGAACTGACGCCCAACCAGTAAAAGAAATTTTGTTACGCCGCTCAAATCATCAACGCCAGGCCGGTTGGCTCAAACCGAAGGGAGAGGAATGATACGGCCATCGGTCATACTAAACCTATCCACCGCTATCCAGTCGGAAGAACTACTAATGCCGCTTGAGAGCGCGTGCGTATTAGTGTATCAATCAATCAGTGTCCACTATTGATTCGCTTCGAAATGGAAGCTGTTTGCACGTCCATATAACTATCACATCTGAGCTTTTGCTTGCTCACATGTGCTGAGTAGAGTGTACCGCTTTCTGCTTGCTACTAAAGATTTCCTACTATCATACCACTACTCTGATGTCGCTTGAGTGTAATAGTTACCAATCTGGATTTGCGGTATGCAGAAAGATTCCGCTTCTAGTGAAATCTGGGAAGGACATACAGTCTTGCTTGTGTTCGTGATGAGACCGAACTTGGCCGCTGTTGAAGCGGGAACCACCATCATCCGCACGGTGTTCAACCAATGCGCAGTCGTCCGCAAACAGCAACAGACAGATATTCGTCTCACATATTACGCTTCTCGCCCCAAAGCGACTGATGTTCGGGAATCCACCATCAATACGGTGCTCCACACGAACACGGTAATCACAAACACCAGGCATCATTGCATTTGGATAAATGTAAACAGGTCAGGGGCTGATACACAGCATTACTTCACACCACAGACAACATCAAAGTCATTCTAGCTTTGTCCACAAAGCTACATCCTCACTCGCATACCACTGTGCAAATATTCAATGGAACTTAAAACTTACCCAACACCGGTCACAGTACCTCGCGGTTCATCGTATCAAAGGCTTTAGTGAAGTCAACAAACAGCGAATACAATGGCTGGTGTCGTCCTCTGCGCTTCTCTTGAAACTGACGAGCCGCAAACAGCGTATCGACGGTGTGGTTGCCCGGACGAAATCCGCATTGTTTTTCCGCCATGTTCGCTTCGACGACTTGAGTGACCAGGCGGTTGAGCAGTATTCGTGCTAGCAGTTTTCCGATACAGTTGAGCAAGTTGATGGCACGATAGTTCGTGACACATTGCTTGCATCCTCCAAGTCAGCTGGCAATTCCTCCCCCTTCCCAAACCCCAAGCGTTGCACCAAGTGATGCAACGGATGCATCAACGCGGGTCCGTAGTGTATCAATACATTTGGCGGTATCCCGTTGGCTCCGTCGCATCTGTCGTTTCGCAGCTGAGCAAGATCTCCCTGCGTCTCACCCAGTGTCGGTGTGTCGGCAAGACCCATCAAAATCGGTTGTTGCTACTCGTGCGACATAACCCAGTCAATCTCTAAACGGTTGATCAAGAAACAATCAAAATGCCTTCGCAAGACCTGCATTATGTCTGCAGTCAACACCTGAAGTACCATCCAACAGAGTCCACAGCGGCGTAAGTTGTGTCCATAGACCGCTCTCAAGGAGTCAAAAAATTCCCTATGTTGGCGACGTTCCGCGTAGAATTGCACTTGCATCGTCCTCTCTGTCCACCATGCATTTTGCATGCGACGGAGATATGAATTCAGTCGCCGTCTAAGTTTGCGGAACTGACTATCCTTCTTGCAGTCGGCAGGGTCCACCACGTGTGCAGCATCCGATGTTGGCCGCTTGGCGCGAACGCATACGATCGCGGTGGCGGACAATCGCTTGTGTGAGAACCTGGGATGGAGGAAGCAGTGGGTCAGTTAAAATGGGGATGGGGATAGGATGTGCAGAGTTAGAAGAAAAATGGGAGACCTCGGCCGAGGTATATTTTCGCTTATCCACTTCGCTGTATGCAAAAGATTAGACATCTCCAAATGACACTGCGCCACTGCCGATGCATCCTACGATTATTAGTACTGCCAGGGTTTATAGTTAGCCGTTGGACTAGGATACGACTAGGTCGTCCACACCTGTGCAGGAAAATCAGTGGGACTCTCAGACCAAGTATCCCATGACATGTAATTCCGAAAGGCTGTGCACCATGAGTCAGTGAGCCGACTCTAGCGAAATTGTGTCGTGGCTCTTAGCAAGAACAAGAGTGCAACACAACTCCTGCCAAGCGGCGGTCACCACGAGGAGGCGAAAACGACATGCATCCATGGCACCAAATTGGGAGCAGCGGCTCGATGATCTATCAGGAGCTCGCCACAAGTCTCACTAAGGCAACGGCTTTAACGCCCCTGTCATTATACATATATATATATATATATATATATATATATATATATATATATATATATGCGTGTGTGTATGCTTGGCGGCATCCGGTTCCGAATTTGCTTGTCACTGTGGCCTCCATAGGACAGCCACAGGACGCCTGAGCCTACAGAGGGACCATGGGTGGCTTGCGCTGTGCCACCCACAGCTCCATCCATACACCCCAAATGCAGTATAAACTCGAAGGAATAAGAACGGGAGGCATGTAGACGGGAGCCAAATTTCGTCAACAGAGCAGGCCCACACTCCTTCAACATGCACAGCAGCAGCATTCCTGTCTATTTATGTTGGGAAGCATGCGTACCAAATGTACACAAGACGCTGGCTGGGCCGCAGTTCCCTCCACACTGGATGGAACCGCTCTTCGAGCCAAACACGGCCACGAGTGCCGTGCACACCGTCCACTCGAGCAACGATTTACGGTCTCCTGGATCCGGTTATCAAGGAGGATGGTGTTACTCAGGTATGCACCATTTCAGCATTCAAATCAATCGCACCCACACGAGGGATATCAGACAGCCAACAAAGAATTGGAGAGAAAGCAAACGCGCGGCTCGGAGTATGCAGCAGAATAACAGAATTTAACAAACCGAATAAAAGACTTTTAACCAGATTAAAAACATTTAGTTTAAGAATAAATTGGTATGGCCCAACGGCGATGAATAACCATCGTGAATGCAACCTTAAGCGCAGCATGGGGGTTTGCGATCAAAATTTTGTGCTGCGTGTACGCTCGAGGACCTAAATTGTTCTCCTAGTAGTTTTCAAGCCCTAGCAGTGTCTCAGCCCATGTACAACCGTGAATGGATGAACTTGCCACATACAGCATCGACCGATGCGTGCAATTTACTGATATACTAATGGGTAAATTGATGATAGCTTAGAAACAGGACGTGTGGCACCATCTATCATCTATCTAAGGCATTCGCATCGTAACACTGCAGCTGCCTATTGTCCCTTGATATAGCGAAATCGGTGGACACCAAACTGCTTTCCGCTCCAACACGGTTTGTGTGTATACTTCTACGCCTACAGACGCCATAATACTGTCTTTTCCACCCGAACTCTGTCCTTTCCCGAGTTGATTGCATACGTTGTTGCGTTGTTGGCCTATAAAGATCTCACTGAGGCTCTACAGGCGACTGCCCTCTGAGCTAGCCAC